ATTTTACAATTATTTGTCTATAATATCAATAATAATAATAATAATAATAATATAAGAGCACTTTTTTGAATTAGTATCCAATATTATTGCAAACATGTTGAAGAAATGTACAGTTCAGATTGTTGAAAATCTAAAAAATAGCAGAAACATTTGTTGATTTTTAACCACAGAACTAAAACTATGGAGAAATGAGATCAGGAGTTACTGCCTCCAGCCAAAGTGCCATGTATTTTTCACTCAATTTTACCAAAAAGTCTGATTTTAGCAGCCCAAACTTTGAAATAAAACCGATATTTTTGCAGTGTATATCTAAACCCCTCTCAGGAACAGATCGGGATGTGTGTCCCGGTGTGAAAGCAGATTACCGGACCTGCAGCAGGATCACCTGCCGGTTCTCGGACGGGTGGCTCTTGTTGATGTGTCTCGTGAGCCCCGGGGAGCTGTAGAGCACCGCGGGGCAGTATTTACACGGGAACACCTGGGAGGAGTGCAGCAGGCGGACGTGACGCTCCTGGCTGCCCCGGTTCGAGAAGTTCTCCCCGCAAACCGGACACAGGTGGCAGGCGCTCAGGTTAAGCGGCGCTGCGCTCTGTTCGCGCACCGCTGCCGCTGCTGCCGCTTCGTCATCCTCCGTTACTTTAGAGTGCTGAGACGCCAGGTGTTTCCGCAGGTAAGCTTGGCGTTTAAACTTTTTCCCGCACTGGTTACAATCATAAAGCCCCTCCTCAGATCCGGACTCTGAGGGTCCCGGGCTGGTTGTGTCTCTGTCACTAGAATCCTTCGCTTCATCCAAAGCTGCTCCTGTTTTACCGGACGCGGCAGATTTGTCGCTCTCCAAATGCTGCTGCGTGACACTCTGCTGCTGCTTGGGTTTGTGCCACCGCCTGTGCGACGCGAGGTTCGCCGGGCAGCTAAACACCTTGTCGCACTCGGGACACCTGTACTCCACGCGCACGATCCTGGAGCATTTGTGCTGCGCGAGGGCGAGAGGATCCGCGTATTCTTCTCGGCACAGCTGGCAGACGAACTCCCCCAGTGGGATGTATTCCTCCCCGGTGAGACTGGGGGGCTTCCGGTCCACCGGCTCTTTAATCTTGAGCCCGAGCACCGGAGACGTGGTGACGTTATCCTCAAAGTGCAGTTTCCGGATCGTTTTGGTTTTCTTGGACGCTGGTTTTCCTTTGCGCTCGGTGTCGCTTGAATGCCGCTTTGTGTTTGTGGGGAGCGTCGCGGTGGGTGCAGTGACGCTGAAGGTTCCGGTGCGACTGCTGTTGCTGGAACCGATTTTCAGATCCACCGGGGCGAAGGGGCGGTCCAGAGCCGCGGGGAGGGCCGCTCCGGTGGGGAAGGACGCTGCGGAGAGGTTGAAGCGCCTCTCGTAGGAGCGCTCGTGGTCCTGGCTGACGGGGCGCGTGGGGCTGTAGAGAGCCTGGTACACCGCCTCGGGGTTACCGAACTGCACCGGTCTCTCCACGCGCTCCGGAGCCACCGCCCCGCACGTGGGAGTCTGTGCGCGCACCGGGAAGGATGCGAGAGGCATCCAGGAGGGACGCGGCAGGAGCGGTGGAGGTGGAGGTGGCGCGGCAGCAGCTGAAGGCTCTTCATCCTCGACGCGGACGCGGTACGACACCGGGTTTGGTTTCTTGTTCCTTTTCACTAAAAATCCTCTGGGCATGTTTCTGCCGGATGGAGAGCGGAAGGCACTGTTTTTTGGGGAAGGGAGCAGATCCACTTTCAGGACATCTGCCGCGTCTGTTTCTGCCGCTACTGATCGTCCGTTCTGCTCCCTGTTCTGATTCCTTTCACCACAAACATAGCTGCACTCTTTTTAAAGGCGACATGATGACATTGTTCCCGTCACCCCCCCTCCTCGTTGACTCATCACCAACCAATCAGAAGCAGGAGATCTCCCCAGTGGATTTGAGGGAGTGGGTGTGGGAGGATGGAGAGAGAGGAGGTGATTCTCAACAACCTGCCTAATGAGCCTTTCCCCCAATATTAAGATAGTATTCTAACATCCCTGAAACAATGTGGACTTTGGCTACAGGTGGGAAACATCTCCCTAAAACAAAACGTTAAGGATTAAAAAAACAGATGAAAATACATTAGGGATGGATTTTAAATTGGGTTGACTTTGCTTATCATTTCATCAGGTTTATAATATATATACCACGCTCAATATATCATGTTTTTGAACCTCATATTAAAACAGATTCAATATGGAGAAGAAAACCATCAGATGGCTAAAAACTCAAAAGTGAAGTCCCCTTTATATAACACTGTAATATATGACATTCAAAACTATTATACAATATCAAAACTGTCCTTTTATGACATAGCAGCATGTTTTAGAATATAACATCATTTAAGCAGCATTATTGAATATAACTTAATATAGTAAAGTGATGGATATTGTATTATTATTAAAAGAATCATGTTTGTATCTTTCAAATAAGCACAACAGCAGCTCCACATTTAAATAATAATCTAATAAAAGAGTTATAATCTGTCAAATAACTTCTGGCAGCAATTTGTGTTCAGATTTAGAATTTAAGACATTCAAAGACTTTCCAGGATAACTCAATATCCAAAAACAAACCGGACTTTGACGCATTTTAACGCATTTTAACGCACCAAAACATAAGTAATGTCCACGTTTGGGATTAATAAAGTCCGTCTTCTTCTTGAGATTGATATTCAATTTCATTTTAAAAAATATTCTGCACACTTGTCAAATATACTCTATACTCCTATATATATATTGTGTTAGTAGTGATTTTATTACAGTGCAACTACTACTGTATTTTACATTGTGTTTTGAACGGATTCTCTGTAAAGTGGATTTGTGTGTGTGTGTGTGTGTGTGTGTGTGTGTGTGTGTGTAGGAGGGGGGGGTGCAGATTGCAAAGCAGATGTACCTGAGGGTTTTATTGTTCCCCCCCCCTTCACTCTCACCCCCCCCCCCTGTCTCACACGCGCCAGGAGGCTCTGCTTTCACGGTCTGATGCGTTTCTATAGAAATCTACACGTGCCTCGGCTTTATGTGGGAGGGGGGGTCGAGGAGGGGGGCGGGGCGGGGGCTGTGATTTATCCCCAAAAAAAGAAGGAGGAATCCGTCCGCATAACGATGTCAGGAAGAAGGGGTAACTACAAGGAAAAGTGGAACATGGAGAATGAAGAGCTCCAGAGACGGAAAGGGAAGCTCAGTGTGAAACTAAAATACCACACATTATTATGTGTGTTTGCTTCTGAGTTATTCTGTATCAAAAACAGAAATGTAAGGTATAGATATTTGGAAAACTTGACCTACGAACTGATCATAATTAGTAATAGTGAGCTGTCCTTTTTTAATGATATAAAATAACTATTCTTTTCGACTTGAATCTGCGTCTTCGATATTTGAAACGACATTTTTTAAATCTTTTTAAAAACAGTTTGAAATAAGAAGGAAGGAGTATTTTTAGAAATGACATTAAAGTGATAATTATGTCAGCATTTCTTGGTGAAATAAGCTCACCAACAGCTCCAAACTTAACTCATAATACAATACATTAGAGTTGTAATCTTTAATGTAACTTGTGTCACGACCTTGTGTTCAGATTTCAGAATTTAAGACATTTCAAAGCTCTCCAGGTCAGATACATATCCCCCAAAAAGCAGACTTTTACGCACAAACACATGGATTTGAATCCGGCTAAATACATTTAACCAAACAAAGTTATTTCGTTCTCCCATGTGGCCTTGCAGCATGTGCGCTGGCGTGACAGTTAACTCCGGACATATGAATCCGTCATTTCGCGCATACATAATTAATAGCGAGAGGAGGGTTTCCTGCTTAGCATCACAATGGCTGCAAGCTGTAGACCCGTCGTGATTGAAAAGGAAATTGCACAGTGGAGAGAAAGAAGGGAGTAGTAGAAGAAGAAGAAGAAGAAGAAGTGGGGGCCCTCTCCACAAAAAAAAAGAAAAAGCAATCTGGCCCCCCGATACCGTCGGCGCGTGCTGTGTGTAATCAGTGCGCTCTTTCTGTGTCACCAAATGGGCCAAACCGAGATTATGTGCGCGTTCAGAGACTGAAAACCCAAATAGTGCGGGTCAGATGTGAGCAGGTCAGCCGGATGTGAGTCTGTCTGAGCTCTGAAATGTTTGAACATAATCATTAGTGCGCAGAGAAGTCAGAGTGTGAGGTTTGAGGTGTTTGGGAAGGAGTGGATTCATATATTCAAACTGCTACCATTTACAACCAAAATGCTGCATTTTTGCCTAAAATTCTTATTTTCTTCAATTTTTCGTGTGTTTTCTTTTGTAAGTTGGTTTTGTCTGTTTATTACATAATACGTTTGGATAATATAAAGTCCTTTAAGTGTTTATTTAACACTTTTATGCCATAAAAACTATAATAAAACATCATAACAACTCTATAAACTGCCTTTAAATAAGTACAAAGCAGTACTTTTTGAATATAAGATCATTAAAGGAACATTATTGAATATTATTAAGTACAGTATATTATTGGTATGTATCTGCACACTCTTATAAAGTATCCTATGTTTGTTAGAAGTAGGGTTGATAGTGTATTCTGACTTGTGTATTTGATATATATTTATCCATCTACGGTTGAAATATATTTACTGTTATTTTCTTATATTTCTAACTCGTGTGCCATGTTTACATGCTGCTGTAACACAACCATTTCCCAAATTAGGATACATAAAACATATCTTACCGAAAAAGGTCAGAAACTCTAAAAGAAAACAGAGACATGTTGATGTTTTTGAAACCTCAAAATGCAGCTTGAACAGATAAAATACACACAGTAAACCATCAGATATCTAATAACTCAAAACTACAGAAGAAACAGGTCCATTTTAACATTATAATCAATACAGAGTGCTTATGTATAACTAAACAGCAGCATTATTAGAATGAAAGTGTGTTAAAGTCACCACTGAGTGCATCCATCACACTGTGCTTTACTGACTGCATCACAGACATAATAGGAAGGACATTGCATCTTTTCATATCTTATATTTGGATTTCCAGCGTCTGTTTGTAGAGATTTAAAAAGGGATCGTGACAGCGGAGGAATTCAGTGTAATCTGCATTATGTAAATATAACATTTGAAAGGCCTGATTCCTGTAGTATGAACACCAGCAGGCTGCAGGTTGTTTAGCTGCGGACATATGTTGTTGTGTGTGCGGTTATTTTTCAGCCTCATTAACATACAGCTGTAGAGTGACACCCCCCACCCTCTCCTCCCATTTTCTCCCCTCTTCTCCTCCCCCATAAAGCCTTCATGTGCAGCCTGTGATTGGTCACGCTGCTGCAGAGTCATACTCACAGTTACAGTTGGCACATTGTGGAGGAGAGGTCTGTGGAAACACAAGCATTCAAACCCTCCTTTTTACAGGCGTTTCAGTTCAAACTCATTTCAGTTAGAGACCATATAGTCAGAGGCACATCTAATGAGGGAGACAGAAAGACAGTCATGTGAAGTTTGTCCTGGAGAAGTCAAATTAAGGTAGACATTTAAAGGAATTCACATATAAAGTCACTCAATGTGAAGTGTTACAGCTGGCAGGTAACACAACATTACTGGACTGCAATGTTTCCTGAACCATCATAACAACACTTTTTCAGCAGCTTCAAAAGTCCCTTAAAAATGATATTATCTTGATTAGTAAATAAGGAATACTTACTTTACAGTTAAGTGACTTTTCTTCAAGAAATTATTCTTGTAAACATTGCTGCTTTGCTTTCAATTCAACATCACTGTAATCATTAGAACATTAGCAGACATATAATCTAATATTAAGGATTAGGGATTCATCGTTAATCACATTTTCAACACATATTACTGCTTTTCGCTGTTTTCACGTGACATTAAACTCTCTTTGGGTTTCAGACTGACAACAGATATCATCTCTGTCTTTTTATAGAAGAAACTATGAACCAATTACTCTAGGAAATAATCGTCAGAGTATTTGATACTTGTACAATCGTTAGTTACAGCCTTAACGCTTTTCCATGTTTGCTTTTTGTGCTGTTCTTCCCTGTAGTGTGTTCTGTGTGTTTTAGTGCATGTAAATGGTTTGTAAAGGCTCAAATCCCTGGCCGTGTCTCAGTGTGGAGTACACCTGCTGCAGAGCCACTATTTCAAGTATACTACGTCATCGAGTGGCGCCGAATACTGGGCATTTAAACAGTCCTTCGGCGCCACTCGATGACGTAGTATACTTGAAATAGTGGCTCTGCAGCAGGTGTACATGTTAGGCTACTTGTTAGACGCTTTTATCCAAAGCGACTAACACTCAATACTGTGGACAATCCCCACAGGAGCAATTTGGGGTGAAGGGTCTCAGGGACACAACGACATGATGACTGCAGTGGGGTTTGAACCTGTGCTCCCCTGATCCGAACACCAACGCCCTACCCACTGCGCCACACGCCTCCACATTGAGAAACGGCCCCTGTGTTCCCTTCAGAGGGAGTTTCTCTCACACACACTCCCTTTAGTTTGGAGCTGCAGTCAAATGAGCAACTCCACACTTCCAGATTTTATACATTTGCAAACTCGTAGTCTACAAACACAACAGACTCACGAAACATCATGAAGCTCATTTAGTTATACTACATTTAATGAAACTACTTCATGCATTTTGCACAAACTGCAGATGCTTTAGAGTGAGGTTTGAACCACTAATTGGATTATGGAGAAATGTTTTCAGCTGTTTGCATTTGGAACATGCAACAACGAGGTGTCAGGTGTGTGGAGAGTACGGCTTACCTTCCAAAACCAGACGCTAACACACATTAAAACAATGAAAATGTCTGTAAGGAATTGTCGTTGCAGGAGTTTTTTGATGAAAGGAAGTATTGCGCATGTTTGTAAGAGCTTCAGGATTCACTCAGTGTGTTCAGGGTCCCGTTTCAAAGACAATATGATTTTAAACAATGCGTTTAAACGTATTTAATGTGGTGTGTCACCGCTGTCCGGGGCCGGCGAACATGGGCAGCAGGTTCCTGTTGAAGCTCAGATATCTGACCGCGCTGCTCCTCACAGCCGCTCGCACCTCAGCGGCCGGAGATCTGTCCCGAAGGAGGACCGGAGAGACATCGTCCTCCACCGTCTGCCCCGAAACATCGCCCTGCCGGAACACACCATGACACAACATGATGCATCTCTCTTCTTGCTCTATTTCTACGTTATTTGTATTTACTTGCACATCTCAAAACATTCTCTCGCACTATTGTATCTGTCGATGTCCTATCTTTTTACATTGGCTTTCTACTTGAGATGTGTGATCTGTTCCTGTCCTCCACGTGCTCTGGTTTGTTTGTATGTTAACCCTTACATGTCTGCCTCATGTTTCTGTGGTCTTCATTTGAACTTTTGTTCTTTCTTGTGAAGCAGGTGCTATAACAAATAGTATTATTATTATATTCATGTTGCTCTGATGGAGGAGCAGTTTTTCACTGACATATCTACACTGTAGTTAACGTGCACATGACGATAAAAGCCTTGATCTGGTTTCACAGAAATATGTTTTAATAATAAATACATATCTGTTCACAGGCATTTTATATTTGTTATTTATTAGTTTATACATATATTTAAAATGATTTGATATTTGTGATACATTAAAAGCACTTTACTGTGTTTGAGGCGATCTGCTGAAGCTCCTGCTCGAAGTCGGAGAATCTGTCGTGATATACGGCCAAACACCAGCTCTGTCTGAAGAAACTACACACACGCACACGCACACGCACACGCACACACACACACACGCACGCACACGCACACGCACACACACACACACACACGCACACGCACACACACACACACACACACACACACACGCACACGCACACACACAGAAATGGGAAGTTATTTTTTTTGAATTCATAAAGATATGGTAATTTACCCAAGGCCAATTTACTTTTGTTCTTTGACCTAAGTAGGAATTTGAATGAAGGATCTTTTTTTTTTACATTGCAGTATTCTGCCTTTTACTCAGTAACAGTTCTTCCTCCTCTGTGTGTCTCCATAGCCAAACACCTACAGCCAGACTTTCCGCGTCTGGCTGTAGACGCGTCTGGCTGTGGATGTGTATGTGTACACCCACACATACACATCCACATACACACACATACACACCCAGAGGCCACAGTAAATGACCCCCAGCCGCCACTCGGTCAATCAATGATTTTAACGGCTCCTGATGCTCCTCAGTGACTTTAGGAGTCAGGGGAGAGAGGAGGGTGTGTGTGTGTGTGTGTGTGTGTGTGTGTGCGTGTGTGTGTGTGTGTGTGTGTGTGTGTGTGTGTGTGTGAGGGGGGGACTCTTGGCTTTGTCTCGCCCCTGCTCTGCCACAGAGACAGATTGGGGAGCTGCATAAACAGATTAGAAGGCGGGGGACAATAGACGTCCATATCTGGGGGTCATTTGTGTTGAAACCTCAGAAGCAGGTCACCCGCTGTTTGACAAACACACACACGCACACACACACACACACACACTGCAAAGTCACACAGACAGCGGAGGACAAAGGACACTGAAGGCCTAAATCTCTCTCGTCTGTTCGGTGTTGTTTTGAAGTGTGGGGTCATCAGTCAGCAGATGCATGATGGGAAGTTTCTCTACCTGCATCTCTCTGGAAACACTTGCTGTCTCAGCGTGGCTTCAGCAGGTGGCTCGCTCTTGTTCAGAAGCTGCTTATGAACACAGTGTTTTTTAAGAACTCTACCACCTGCCATCTATCAGATACCCATAAGCATGTATTGTGAATAAATGACATTGCAATACTAAAAGGAGGCTGGAAGTGCACGATAAAACGGTAGAAAGCACGGGAACAGAGCAGAGAATAACTGATCATTACTCCTGCAGGTCTGTTGACATGTACGCTGGTTGTTTACCTCCTAAGTTATCAAAGCTAATAAGAGTAAGAACAAGTCAAATGTTAGTAAGACATAATAGTGTTTGATAGTTTGTTCTATCTTTTCTTGTCATCAGGAGTAATATTTTTTCTGTGGTACTACTTTACAGATAGTATTATTTTGTAAAGCACCTCCAGTATAGGGTTTGAAAGGTGCTACTGTATGTAAACAACATTAACTGACAGTAGCTGTAAATTATCTTCATGACACCAACCCCATGATCTTAGAAAATAACTGTTTATAAACTGATACAAACAAAGGATAATGTTGATTTACGTTTTTACTTTTTGAACTGCTTACACATCACATCAGACAGATTAAAACGAATCTTTGTCTCGTACGAAACCCCACAAATATTACACCATAATTATGTTAACCCTTAGATGCCCGAGTGGCTGGACCCTACTCTCTTCCATGAGTGGGTCAAAAAGGACCCGTATTAGAATAATGTGTGTTTTTATGCCATTTTTGTCCTTTTGGTTAAGAAAAATCACTTGTATAATATTTAGTATTATATTTTGGTTCACACTAGAAATATTTAATATTTAAAGGTGGGGTAGGTAAGTTTGAGAAACCGGCTCGAGATCGCTAGAATTTGAAAATACACAACCGGAGAAAATCTGCCACTTCCTTACAGAGCCCCTCCTCCAACACACACGAACACGCACATGACCAATGAGGGCACGAGATAAGTTAGTGCACAGATGGAAGGCTGACAGGCAGGTAGGCCATCCAGTTATTTTAGCCGGGCCGGCTCAGATGATTGGTCGTGCTTTTTACAGTACCACAGCTTCCACAGATGACATTTTTTTATGGATTTTTTGTCAAAGCACTTCAGATATTCATTGCTATCGGGATGTTAAGAGCATTCCATGGAATATAACAAAAAGGGTATCTCGAGCCGGTTTCTCAAACTTACCTACCCCACCTTTAATTTTTCACTATTTATAATTTTATAATTTTTTTTTTCATTTTTGACCCACTTATGGAAGCTTGGGGTAGTAATACAAAAACTACAATTTCTTAAAATGTATAACATTTGAATGGCATGATATCCAAAACATGTTTTTTGAGGAATAGCTGGAAAATGAAATGATAACATTTTTTAATTACAAAGATACTTCAAGAAAACCACCTCACCGGGTCCAAAAAGACCCACCTATGCATCTAAGGGTTAATTGTTCTTGCACTATATGTTGCATTGTTGGAGGAGCTCAGGTCAGAAGATTTTCATAGCCATTTCTACTCTGTAGCTTATGAGCAAACTGATTGTTGTGTTTTTATTTAGGTCTTAATGTGTGCACAGATGTGTCTTTGACTGTGTATTTATATACACATTTGCACACATATTTTTATATACATTTGTGTTTATATTCGGGATTGTGGGAAACGGTATTTCGATCTCTCCGTCTGTACACACAAAGTGGAAGATGTTGACTTTGACTGACTTGACTTTGAATCTTGAATCTTTTGAAAAAATGATAATTCCCTGGTTCAGAATAAATACAGTGGGATATATTATAGATTATATTTCCTCACCTGTGCAGGTCTGGGATCAGGCCCTGCTGGTAGCGGCTGCTCAGCTGGCCCAGCAGCTGCTGCTGTTTACCATACAGACTCAGGTAGTTGGAGAGGGGGAGGGGCTTCAGGGAGAGACAGGTGAGCGCCTCCACCTGCTCGTAGCTGTCCAGGTGTAGACAGAAGTAGTTCCCCGTCTCCACACGCCCCGTCACTAAGCAGCTGTCCTGCAACAAAACACATGTGTTATTGAAAAGTCCCTTAAATTAAAACACACTTCACTTTTTCAACTTAGGAATCTTTCTTAAAGGAATAATTATTGGATGTTATCTTCAAGAGTTTCAGAAAATGATGGATATGTATCTGTTTTCTGTACTTAAAGAGATCCTGCTGATTTAGTGTTCATCACACACTGCACAACAAATGGTCGTTGAAGAAATGTTTAATTAAATATTTTAAGAAAATGCTGTTTTCAGCCGCTTGAGAGTTCCTGCTTTTCTCGGTTTAATATATTCATATTTAAGTGATTTTTCCGGGGGATTTGGACTGACTAAACAACAACAACAACAACATGAACATTCTTCACTATTTTCTGACATTTTGACGTGTCTTCAAGCACAAGTGAGTTAGCTCTCTTGTTCTTCAGGAGTTTGTAGAGGGATTCTTTATTTGGTCTAATTTATTGACAGCACCGACACGCTTTAAAACATGGATTAAAAGACAAGGCAGTGATATTCTATGATTGTGCTTTTATCCACAAATAAAACACACACCAGTCTGTTGTTTATATTAAAACCTTACCTGTTGAACAGGAGGAGCGGTCAGGTTGGTGGCAGACGGTGTAGTGACCTGCAGGAAGTGAAATCCTCCGGGAAGCTTCCCACCTGAGGAGAGGAAACAGGAGGAAGGTTAAGGTGTGAGGAGGTTAAATATAATTAGTAGTTGAAGCCCTTACATGACAACAGAGAAAAGACCAATTAGTCAATAAGAGGCTTTTACGGTGAGCCCAACAAGGACCAGGTGACTACAGGTGAATATATTGCATACAGCAGTTTGCTCATCTTGTTTTACTGATAACTCAAGATGAAGACGTCCCACGACACAATGCTAAATGCACAGCGACACTTTAAACGGGACAGGCTGGAGGAGGGAGTGGGATGGGGAGGTGGTCTTAAGTGGTCTTAGCAGCACCAGTGCAGGAGTGGCAGTCCTGCTTGCTAAAGACTTTATCCCCAAGTCCCACACAGTGGAGGAAAGAGTAAAGGGCAGACTGCTGGTGGTGAGAGCTAACTATGAGCTTTTGAATCTGGTTTTTATCAACGTATACGCTCCTAATTCAGGTCCTGCCAGAGTTCAGTTTTTAAATGAGCTCAGCGCTGTTTTAAGTGAGTGTGAACCAGAAGAGCTTTTATTTTTAGGGGGAGATTTTAACTGCACACATGATGATGAGTTAGATAGGAACCATAGGGAACCTCATGCTGCATCCAAAAGAGCCATGACACAGTTAATAGCAACACATAGTCTATCAGACATGGAGAGAACATCACACACATCACGAGCAGTACACATGGGTCCACACTAGTCTTTCATCCGGTTAAAGTATAGAGTTAAAAGTCCCGAATTATGTAAAAGTGTATGGTGAAAATGCGCCTCAAAACTGGATCAAAATGCTAAAAAGGGAATATGGGGCCAGATAAAAAGTTACCATTGAAAATAGTTTGGGATAATGTCCGTTCACAACTCAGCTGAATATATAACACAGGTTATGTTACATATAATACTGAGCAAGCAGCCGATGCATCCCAACATGCGTTTCCCTGTAAACAGATCGCTGACAATGACCCAGATATCCTCGATGATTCGGCCTCTCTGCTCTCTGAAAAGTTCACGTGTGTTTCACCCCCGTGAGAGTGGCTGTTGTGTTTGTGTTACCTGTGGAGTGGCCTTGGTTCCTTCGTGAATACACGGCAGCACAATGCACCATTGTTACGCCCCGCTATGGTTTGAGTGGTCGACGAAATAACACGAGCAGTGGGTGGGCAGGTAAAGGTTTGGAAAACGCTCCAAGGTAATATTGGTGAATTCAGCAGGAAGAGTATTAAAAGGTAAACTGACAGACCCTAGAACATATACTCAGATGTGGTGCTGATGAATGTGAAGGAATTTAAGCTTTATAATAAAGATACGACACATGGGAATTGAATAGCAGGAGAGCTAATGCAGTACTGAAGTGGTTTTAAGGGGGCCAGGGTTTTATAGAAGTCCCATTCATTCCCATAGATGATTCACCACAACAAAAGAGGAACAAGTGTGTCATCAGTGTGTGGGAGACGGCCACTGAAGGGCATGTGGAGAAGTGGCTGCTCCATTGTGTTCCAAAATATCATTTTTAGATGCATCTCAATTCTCTCTGGGAACATTTTCATGCAAAAGAGACAATAAACGGACGGTATGTTTTGTTATTTTCATGGTCACACACACACACACACACACACACACACACACACACACACACACACACACACACACACACACACACACACACACACACACACACACACACACACACACACACACACACACACACACACACACACACACACACACACACACACACACACACACACACACACACACATGGCTAACCCTACACACACACACACACACACACACACACACACACACACACACACATGGCTAACCCTACACACACACACACACACACACACACACACACACACACACGCACACACACACACACACACGGCTAACCCTACACACACGGCTAACCCCACACACACACACACACACCCACACCCACACACACACCTAACCCCAGACACACACACACACACACACACACACACACACACACACACACCACACACACACACACACACACACACACACACACCCACACACACACACACACACACACACACACACACACACACACACACACACACAACACACACACACACACACACACACACACACACACACACACACACACACGTTTTATAGTTTAATATCGTTATTACTGGCTGCCTGCTACTTCATAAATGAAGTCAGTAGCCAGTGTTCTTAAATATTAGTGTGTCTACTTTCACAATGTAATACTGTATTACTGGCTGCTCAGCTAACTACTTTTGATATGTCTACTAACTATGCCTTTCTATATGCACGTATGTCGTAGAACACCATTTCCCCCCAGTTTCTGACCTTGAATCTTGGCCTGTCCGTACAGCGGAACGAGACGCTCTGTTTCTGGCGGAGTTTCCATCGCGGGCTCGAAGAGACGCAGCAACATGGCCGCCAGATCCCGGCCCACCTCCTTAGAGTTGAAGTTTGCGTTCGACCACTCGTCGGAGTAGTAGCTGCGGGAGAATTTGGTGAGAGGTCCGGCTGCAGAAATGGAGGAATCGTTGGTGTGGAAAGTGGCGTCTATAACGAGTCTGCGGTCGAACACCAGGAAGGAGTCGGTGATGCTCCTGAAGGCCTCAGAGTCCACGGCTTTATTGGAGAGATTAATGAACACCTGAAAGGAGAAAAGCAAGATTTGTTTTCTGTTTCTTGGGATGTCATGATTTTAATATGCTGCCCCTTATACATGAGATTAACACATGTGTCACTTCTGGGCAAAAATGACAGCTCCGCCCACTTTTGGGGGAAAACAAAGCTGTCATTTGAAAGGCGGTCGATTCAAATTCTGAAGTTTTTGCCAATCCGATCAGAAATGTAAGAAAACCATGGATTTGTGGATCTTCAAAGAGCCCGATCACGATGGCCAGACAGGCAAACAATTACATGAAATCCTTTGAAATGGAAGATCGGGCTCGATATATGGTTAAATATAGCAGTAGGCGATCGATGTCCACAGATGAGAGTAACATCTACGTCACTTTACGGCCCCGCCCACTTTTGGGGGAAACCAACGCTGTCATTTGAATGGCGATCGAGCCTGAAGCCACAGAGCTCTTCTTTTACTGTCCAATTATTTCCCGCCTCGCTCATGAGAGTAACAGCTGGCGAAATTACGGCCTCGCCTACTGATTTTAATTTAACCATATATCGAGCCCGATCGTCGATTTCCAATGATTTAATGTAATTGTTTGCCTGTGTGGCCATCGTAACCGGGCTCTTTGAAGATCAGAAAATCCACGGTTTTCAAACATGTCTGATCGGATTGGCAAAAACTTCAGAATTTGTATCGACTGCCAATCAAATGACAGCGTTGTTTTCCCCCAAAAGTGGGCGGAGCCGTAATTTTCGCCCGGAAGTGACGCATGTGTTACTCTCATCTATGCTTGGAATAAAGTACAGAAGGAGCTGAAACTGTCAGATTTGATCACTACGGGGGAGTTCAAGTCTTAAAGGACAGAGAACAAGAATCCATTGGTCGATGTGATTGCTCGTATATCCCATAATTGAAGTCGTTTTAAAATTGTGACAGTTTTTAGTGTTTTATAATAGTTATTTTATTTGCATATTGACTGGTTAATGTGCCATTTCATTAGTGTTTTACAGCTGTATTCGTCTGCTTGTATTGTTTTGTGTTAATTTGTTGTAACTTTCTCCATGCTGCCCTCTTGGCCAGGTCGCTGTGGAAAAATTGATTTGAAACTCAATGAGACTTCTACCTGGTTTAATAAAGGATATATATATATATGATCAGATGAACACATTTCCACACAAACCCACCTCTGTGATTAAACTTGTGGAGACAGTAGTTTTCAAAAGGCCCTATTGGAGTTTTCCCTTTCCTGTAGTGTTATAGATTTTCTCTCCCACATATGGACCAGACTGTGATTTGATCAAATTGTGCGGATCACAAGAGGTGATCTTTTTTATAATGAACACCTGAAAAGATAAAAGTAAGAAATACGTATGTTTTCTGTTTCTCTCGATTTCATGATCAGATGAACACACTTTTGTGATTAAACTCGTGGAGCTGGACAAACGTTTTAAAAAAGCCCTATTGGAGTTTTCCCTTTCCTGTAGTGCTATAGATCTTTCTCTCCCACACATGGACCATGTTGTGATCTGATAACATTGTGCAGCTCCCACTTTCTCTGTATCCTCCACAGCTAACAAATCTGTCAATATATTTCCAGCCTAGAAAACAAATGTTTAAGCCACATTTCTGAATGTTCTGGAACCTGCATGGTTTGACAAAATATAAAGACCTCATCTGCAGGGTGCCTCTATTTCAGCCTACAATGAGGAAAACAAACACACAATTGGAGAGTACAATCCTCTACTGTCTGAAACAATGGGAATGGGAAACACACCAACATCATTCTGTGCTCCACAAAACACAGTCTGCTTCCAGGAGAGGAATTAAAATCCAGCCAGCCGCTCGTTCATGGCCCCCTGGACAGTAACCCAGCATTGTTAGGGAAATATTTACTTCAGTGAACACTAATAACTAACTGGACAAGCACACATGTTAGTCTACTTGCCAGCAGTGTGAAGCCTGAAATGTTGAGTACCCCAAAACATTATGATAGAAATGTATTGTACGGGTCCCGAGCACATAGAAACTGCTGGATGGTAACTTGCATATGTTGGGCAATTGGCACAAGTTGTATTCGTTAGCATTCATTTGCAAATGCAGACAATAGCAAAAAAATGGCTTGGCCGAATTGGACATTTTTGGTGTGGTTTTGAGGTATATTGAGGATGCTGAATACATTTCTGACATTTTTAAGATCCGGGAGCACAATTATGGCTCAAAACTGCCATTTCTGATCCTGAAAATGTCAGAAATGGATTCAGCTTCCTCAATATCCCCCAAAAACCCTACAAGCAATTTTTTAACCATTGTCTGCATATGCTAATTAATGCAACTTATTCCAATTGTGCAAACTGCGAAACATATATAGTCCGGCAGTGGCTCAGTCAGTAGGGGCTTGGACTGTGAGCCGTAGGGTCGCCGGTTCAAGTCCCCGAACAGACCTGAATATGGAGTGTGGACTGCTACTTGGAGAGGTCCCAGTTCACCTCCTGCCCTGCCGAGGTGCCCTTGAGCAAGGCACTGGACAACCCCCTTCCCCCGCCCACTCCCATTGCTCCCCGGGCGCTGTGCAATAGCTGCCCACTGCTCCTAGTACTAGACTCCTGGTACTAGGATGGGTTAAAAGCAGAGAACACATGTCACTGTGTGTGCTCTGCATGTGAGACCATTACAGAGGGGTTCATCCCTCCCATTCTATCTATCTAAAAGTTAGCATCCAGCAGTTTCTATGTGCTGTGGGACCCCATTATACATTTCTATCATAACACTTTGGGGTACTCTACATTTCCAGGTTAACAATAAGACTCTATGTTGATTTACCCCACACTGCAGATTGAGGGTCTCTGCGTCTGTAGTGAAAGTCACAGATGTGAGGGGGTCGGGGTTTTCTCCGTTGTTCATGAGGCCCAGCAGCAGGCAGTGATGGTGGACCTGAACCTCGGCCTTCTTCAGGGCCGTCACCACAGCTTTCTCCACCTCCGGGTCGCTGAAGCAGGAGACGCCGGGCTCGGGAGGCGTGAAGACGACATGGATACGATTTCCCAGAATCCCGAGGCTGAGCAAAGTCTCAACGGTGGTGAAAACGTCGATGCTGTTTCCGTAGACGATGGCGTTATCTGGAGAGACACATGTGACATTTACCGTATTGCAAACGGATCCTTTTATATGCACCCATTTTTGCTTTTCAAGGCAATATCCAACTTCAGGAGACACTTAAAAGCAGGATGACCTTGTTACAGATGAGACATATGAGAATTTGGAAATGTAAAAGGAGAGCATTTTTATCCCAAAACATTCTCAGATTTTTTTAATTCAACTTCCCTTTTGAGTCCTAAACAGGCCAAACCATCTGATATTTCACATAACAATAAAAGATCATGGAAAAATTAATACAACTTATGTAGCAGAACGTTTCAGTCTTTTTTAAGTACATTTACTTGGTAATCCTTCTTTAAGGCAGAACATATATTTTGTAATTAGGTATTTTGACGTTGTTTTGGTACTTTTAGTTGAGTAACAGATCATAGTTGGTTATTAGAATGAACACTTGAAGCTTCAGTTCAGTGTCTCTGTCCGTGGTGCTGAACCAGAGGAGCTACACCAAGGACAGCACAACACAAAAACCTCTCATTAAAAAATCTATATTCCACTGCTCAACCATCATCATGTTTATCCTTATACTACCACTACAACTACCCGGGGAAACACGTTTTTTATATGTAAAATTCCCATAAATGTGTAAGCATACAGCTTTGTTAAGGTAAAAAAGTTATCATGATTTTGCCACTACAAACTGCAAAATAAAACTGTATATTTGTGATTCTAAAAGTGTTCTGACGGTAAGTACTGAGAGACTCCATCTGCTTTAGTCTACCGCTGAACTTCACATTCATACGTTTCTTTCGGCTGTTATTAAAATATGTAAATAAACATGTTATCTGCTGGAGTCTGCAACAGCAATTTGCATTTATTAATGGCTTTGCTTCATGACTAGGATCATCTAATTAGTACATTTAAAAGCCTCACTCCAGATCAGTGCACAATTCCTTCAGAGAGCAGATTCATTCTGCTTAATGACACAGTGGGTTTTATCCTCTGGCTCTCAGAAAGTGATGTGATAATGGAAAACTGGATGGGAGAGGCCAACATGATTCACACAGATGAAAGATTTCTCTGCAGCTAATTAGCGGCTAATTATACCGGAGCACTTCAGCGCTGACTGGCTGAGTAATGACATACTACTACACATTCATATTAGGTTCTGTGTGTGTGTGTGTGTGTATGTGTGTGTGTGTGTGTGTATGTGCATGTGTGTGTGTGTGTGTGTGCATGTGTGTGTGTGTGTTAGCTCACCCTCCAGCTCCACAAAGTTGGCGCTCAGCCAGCGGCGGGCAGCCATACAGTCGTGGAGGTCGTTGAGGGTGAAGAGGTTGGAGGGCAGCTGGAGGTTTGAGTCGGGCTGATTCACTTCAGCAGGACGAGGCGCCTACAGAAACACATCATAATAGTGTTACGTTTATTAGCTAGCTATATCTTTATATTGTTCTATAGAGTGGTGCAGGAATGAGTCCTGAAGCACTTCCTGTTGCCTCGTCTTGAAGTCTTTAGTATGTGTTTTTGGTTGTTAGCCTGAAATAAGGTATGTGGTAGCCACAAGCTAAAGAGATTTTAACAAGTTGTTCTAGGACATAAATAATTCAGTAAATACCCCACTGGTGAATTTAAAAACGGCGGTTGCTAACACAAGTGTCTAAATGAGACGACTAAACATCATCACACCCAACATTAGCCACCTTTAGCTTAGCAGTGGTGACGTGAAGTCATGTGACTGTTCTGTAGTTCCTTTATAGCCCAACATTAGCCACCTTTAGCTTAGCGGTGGTGACGTGAAGTCATGTGATCGACCCGTGCTGTAGTTCCTTTATAGCCCAACATTAGCCACCTTTAGCTTAGCGGTGGTGACGTGAAGTCATGTGATCGACCCGTGCTGTAGTTCCTTTATAGCCCAACATTAGCCACCTTTAGCTTAGCGGTGGAGACGTGAAGTCATGTGACCGTGCTGTAGTTCCTTTATAGCCCAACATTAGCCACCTTTAGCTTAGCGGTGGTGACGTGAAGTCATGTGACCGTGCTGTAGTTCCCTTATAGCCCAACATTAGCCACCTTTAGCTTAGCGGTGGTGACGTGAAGTCATGTGACCGTGCTGTAGTTCCTTTATAGCCCAACATTAGCCACCTTTAGCTTAGCGGTGGTGACGTGAAGTCATGTGACCGTGCTGTAGTTCCTTTATAGCCCAACATTAGCCACCTTTAGCTTAGCGGTGGTGACGTGAAGTCATGTGACCGAGCTGTAGTTCCTTTATAGCCCAACATTAGCCGCCTTTAGCTTAGCGGTGGAGACGTGAAGTCATGTGACCGTGCTGTAGTTCCTTTATAGCCCAACATTAGCTTCTTACTTCAGAAATCATAAAGTGTTGTTAATATGTGGAGATTATCCTGCTGAACTAAATGTGTAAGTATCATAAACGTTAGAGATTATTTTCTGTAATAATCCAAAATGAAATGGAGGAATCCCATTGGCTCTCTGTGTGTCACCTGGTACTGCAGGCCGGTGCAGAGGACCAGGTGGTCGTAGGGCACCGTCACTCCACCGGACACCAGGACGTGTTTGGACTTCCTGTTGATGGCCACCATCTTCCGGCTCACCACGCTGACGCAGGAGTGCAGAGGCAGCCGGGACAGATCTCTGCTGCTGTACGCATGACTGCACGCAAGAAGACACCTCTTAATGCAGTGAGTTAAAGGAAGATTAAGTGCTCTTCCCTTTCAGAGTGTTTTCAAGAACTGTGACAGCCTTCAAGGAAAATATATGGCTTCCTTTAACAAGAGTTTGGTGTGTCCCTTCTGGGCTACTGTAGAAACATGGCACACACGAAAGAGTAGCTCCCTATGTAGACACGAAAGACTCATTTTAGAGCTGCAATTTCATTAATTCATCAATTTGTTTTACATTTAAATTAATATGCAACAGTTTGGATAATTGATGCTCATATTTTATGAAAGACGTGTTTTTAACCACTTTTTTGCCATTTTATAGATAAAATAAATAGTCGTTTATAAGAAACAATAATTGGTCAATTATTTAACAATGAAATGAATCGTTAGTTGCAGCCCTAGCTTATTCTGAAATAACCCCTAAACAACAATACATATCTTTAGATGATTATACGCCAAATAAAATACAGTTATGAGTAATTTTCTGCCAATAGAAATCCCTTAATAGTGCTCACTGGTCCTTTGTGTTTATAGGAAATGCATCAAAATGGTTTCATTCATCTACAGCCATTACATTATGCAATCATTTTTCACCTCATAAAAATGTGTTAAAGCAAAACATGTGTCTATTGCCACTATCATTTAGCTGTAAATGACATAAAAACACTTGTATTGATCGTTTCTTGGTGTGTTGAGATATTATCTGATATGTGAATTAATGCTGTTTTCCTCAGTCCTTTTGTTCCATTCTCTCACCTTGTGGAGAGAAATCCGATGTCCTCGTGGTCGAAGTCGCTGAGGAGGCCGTGCGTGGAGACCAGGGTCAGGCTGTTGAACCTGAGGTGAGGGCTACAAGGGAACAAACAACACACAGCAGAACACAGTAAACAAACACAGTACACAGTAAACAAACACAGTACACAGTAAACAAACACAGTACACAGTAAACAAACACAGGACACAGTAAACAAACACAGGACACAGTAAACAAACACAGGACACAGTAAACAAATACAGGACACAGTAAACAAACACAGTACACAGTAAACAAACACAGGACACAGTAAACAAACACAGTACACAGTAAACAAACACAGGACACACTGAACAAATGCATCCCACAGTAAATACATATAGTGCTTTTTCTGGGAAACCTCATTTCTGCAGAACCTACCTGCTTCATTTAGTGATGTGCAACAACATTTATAGATAATTAATAATAATAATAATGCATCACATTTTTTATTAGAGCGCTTTTGCAGGTGCTCAAAGCGCTCTACAATTACACATTACACATATTAGACATGTAAGAGTCATTACTGTGGACATTACCCACAGGAGCAAATTCGGGTGAAGTGTCTTGCCCAAGGACACAACGGCCTGACGCAGTCGCGGCCGAGGCGGGTTTCGAACTGGAGTTCACAAACGCCCCTTGATCTGATGATCAACGCTCTAACCCACTGCGCCAAAATCGCCAAAATTGCTTATATTAGCCATGTTAAGAGGACAATAAAGAATATTAAAAACCACTCTTTAGTTTGCTTTATGTACTACGAAGGTCTGGAGAAGATTAAGTAAAGCCACAGTGATTTTTCCCCTTTAAAAATCTTAAATCGTTACTTTACTTAGGTTGTACTTGTTTACCAAGTTAGCACTACTGTTAGCTTCCCAGTTAGTTAGCACAACCATTAGCTGATTTCAACAACAGGTGCATTCATTTCTTTCTTATTTAGGAAAAAGGTGTCCCATTGGCTGGTAATTGTGATTAATCTCTGGTTGTTTTTGAAGATGTATAGATATATTTTGTATATTGATGTACATATAACACACTATTGGCATATTTTGTACATGCACAACAACCTATATAACACACTACAGGAAAGGGAACACCCCAAAAAGCAGAATAGGGCCTCGTTATTCTTTGGTGAAAGCATCAATAGTAAATATTTCAATATCGTTGCGTTATTTGTTATCAATGCATTTGGTCAAACCTTTTCTTTATATTGACCATCACAGTTAGACGTTCCTCTGACTGATTTCACCCCAAAGAAACATTTGCTTCAGTAAAACTCACACATTTGATCTGTTTGAGAGTCTTCTGCTTGTAGACGTATATTATGAAACCCTGACGTGGTCCCTTTTTTTTTTTTATAACTAATGCTGTTGATGTATTGTGATTTAAAAAAGGTGTCTATTATCATCTGGCCGGGGACAACAGCTGGAAATGAGCAATGTTGGCTAAAGCTGCCCCATTTACTGTTGTTTGTGACAGTTGATCAATGGGGACTGTCCACGACACTATAAACAAATAAACTAAACTAAACTGAACATTAAACATGGCCAAAAAAATCTCCGATGTTGAATATCTCTCAGCCTACTGAGCATTTGTGACTCCTGCAGTGTCTCCTCCCTCTTTGAGTTCACTGTCCACAGTACACATCTCCTCTTGTCATGCAAATGCCTTCCTTTGTGTTTCCCTGCAGGACACCACAGAGCAGATAACAGCAGCTCCTCCTCGTCGGTGGATACAGAGTGAGTGTGTGTGTGTGGGTGTGTGTGTGTGTGTGTGTGTGTGTGTGTGTGTGTGTGTGTGTGTGTGTGTGTGTGTGTGTGTAGCTCGCAGTGGTTTTATCTCTGTGACTCTGATCACCTCCTGTCTGCTCTTATCTCTCAGCCTCCTGACAACCTATCGCCCAGAAGCACACACACCAACACACTGCTGAACACACTGACACAGGCTGGAAGGCTGTTGTGTTGCAGAATAAAACATCACATCTTTACTTGTTTTGGAGCATGGTGGACAATTTTACACAACTTTATGACAAGGTTGTGCAATTTATTGATTTTTAGATGAACATCTGGATATGGAAATACATATCGTTTAGGGTTTTAGGTATCGTAATGTTATTTAAGGGTTCATTTGGCTTACATTTCAGACAAGTGATGCAATTTCCTTAAAATAACCATGTGGTTCTATTATTACTATTTTGGAAAGTCAATAATCAACCCTAAAATATCATTGAAATATCAATAATGAGCATTTGGCAAAAACATATTTTTGAAGTTAATTTTCCTCATAACACTGAGCACTACTTTATGGTCATATTGGATTCATAGGAATTTTACTTTGCACCTTGATTTGTCAGTTATCTAAATTACTGATTTACTTTTCACAATCAAGAACTAAATTGAATAGACTATATTGATATTACATATGTCATAAGAAAATGTTCTATCCATATGTGCCACCCTTTGTCTCTAGAAGAGTGTGAAACATGATGGAAATGTTGCAATAAGCTAAAGGTTTTTTTTTTTTTAATGTATTTATCTGTTGATTTGTTTTTAAAGGTTGATACATTTTTCAGTCTATAAAATGTCAGAAAATAGTAAAAATAGCCAAATGTCTTTCTTGTTTTTTTCCACTTACAGTTTTAAATCCAAAGATATTAAATATACAATGATTTATAAACAGAGAAAAGCAGCAAATACTCACATTTGAGAAGCTAAATATTTTGCATTTTTGCTTGATAAATACCTAACAATACAAAAAATGTTTGATTAAGTTTATATGACTCACTTAGAGGTCAGCTGATCCTGTAATAAAACAACAAATCAGCGCTCAAACATGTGTACACACGGATCAAGTAAAGCATCCTTGACTCTCATCACAAAGCTCAGAGTCATCAGTGGTTTGACCTTTGGCTCTGACGCATACAATAACAATAATCAGACAATGAGAGCCGTCTAACTTTCCCTGTTAATCTGAGCCGGGAGGAGGATTTAGATCGAGGCGTTTCTGGTGTCTGGAGAGTCAGAGGAGCTGTTATCAGCCGCTGACAGACGGTCAGCCTGCAGCTCTTTATCCGTCTGACCCGAGACACAGTAATGAAGCTGGAGGGGGGGGGGGGGGGGGGGCAGAGATGGCAAGAGTACACACATCCTTTACTCAAGTAGAAGTACAAATACTCATGTTTAAAAATACTCTGGTAAAAGTAAAAGTAAAGAGGCTTTGAAATGTACTTCAGTAAAAAGTACCCATAACTAGCAGCTGTTTTAAAGAGTACCTGACCTCCCTTTATATTAATAGAACAATAATGTCATAGTTAGCTAATGAATGTTTCCATGCTGAACAACGGCAACATGACAACATTTTCATTGGTCCCTCTTCTTTAGAGAAGACCAGGAAATGATGGATACACGGATCGTGTTCAAATCAATAGGCACGCAATGACTCTAAATAATAATGATCACGCCACCAAACACACATTCAAACTAAAGGAACCAGCCTGTTTGGGAAATGTGAGAAGTAGAAAGTACAGGTATTTGGGTTCAACATGTAAGAAGTAGAAAGTACAGGTATTTGGGTTCAACATGTAAGAAGTAGAAAGTACAGGTATTTGTGTTCAACATGTAAGAAGTAGAAAGTACAGGTATTTGTGTTCAACATGTGAGAAGTAGAAAGTACAGGTATTTGGGTTCAACATGTAAGAAGTAGAAAGTACAGGTATTTGTGTTCAACATGTAAGAAGTAGAAAGTACAGGTATTTGTGTTCAACATGTAAGAAGTAGAAAGTACAGGTATTTGTGTTCAACATGTAAGAAGTAGAAAGTACAGGTATTTGTGTTCAACATGTAAGAAGTAGAAAGTACAGGTATTTGTGATCAACATGTAAGAAGTAGAAAGTACAGGTATTTGTGTTCAACATGTAAGAAGTAGAAAGTACAGGTATTTGTGTTCAACATGTAAGAAGTAGAAAGTACAGGTATTTGTGTTCAACATGTAAGAAGTAGAAAGTACAGGTATTTGAGTTCAAAATGTAAGAAGTAGAAAGTACAGGTATTTGTGTTCAAAATGTAAGAAGTAGAAAGTACAGGTATTTGTGTTCAACATGTAAGAAGTAGAAAGTACAGGTATTTGTGTTCAAAATGTAAGAAGTAAAAGTACTTAAGTACAGTAACTAAGTATTTGTACTCCACTACCTCCCACCTCTGCACGGGGACGTTTGGTCAGCGCTGATAAGGGAAAGTGACCCATCATTCAGCTTCTCAATGCGCTCACCATTAGTTCAGCGGACACTAACTGCCTCATTATTCAACTCATTAGTGACAGCAAACACAGATCCCTTACAGAGGATGGAGGGGGGGGTAATTAAAGGGGGTCATCACTGGATGCCAGGCCTCACACAGCTGTGTTCCCCCTCCCATCAGCAGCGTGCCAGCCTCACCAGCTCCTCCGAGGAATACAAAAAAAAAACAACGATTTGTTGCCAGGCAGCTATCGGCTGGTTCTGGATCAGCTGCTTGTTATTATTACTATCAGCAGCAGCAGTTAATCTCACAAAGAAAAGACGGGAGGCAAACATGCAAAGACGTGCGACCCGGAGTCAAGTGACATTTGCAGAGAGATTGGATTCCTGGAATAAAAGACGATAATAAAAAAAAGCAAAGAGCAGCTCTGGCTCAGGGGATTACTCCTCTCTGAATGCTTTTCACTCACGGCTGCCATTTACTACTCGTGTGTGTACTGCACTTGAAGATGAAAGTGTTGTCCTTCTGTTACCTGGCACACACACACACACACACACACACACACATACACACACACACACACACACACACACACACACACACACACACACACACACACACACACACACACACACACACACACACACACACACACACACACACACACACACACACACACACACACACACACACACCACACACACACACACACACACACACACACACACACACACACACACACACACACACACACACACACACACACACACACACGTTTTGATTGTAGTGCTTGATTTGCCTCTGCTGCAGGTTATGGCATCCATTTACTACGATGGAAATACCTTTTTTTTTCATAGGGAAGCTTAGAGATACAATTTATGTTTTTAGTATTTGTTCAATTCCATTAATTAATTTCGCAATCAGAATCAAGCGTATTGCCAAGTAGGTTTACCCACAGAAGGAATTGACTTTGGTATATAATGGTGCATACAGACTCTAAGGGGCTTGTGAATACACGTTTTTAAAGCAGTCCCAAGGTACCAGGACACATTCAAATCTTTAATAATCTAAATTATTACGTTAAACGCAGTTGTGAAAATAACATTTACAGACATTTTACCATCTGTTCATGTAAATATACAATATATATTTAATAAACTGTGAGATTTTTGATTTACACAAGTGATTTAAACACCAGATTATGTTTAAAATCAAGCTTTTTCCAAATGTTCCAAACACTTGTGTCTTTGTGACAATACTTTGAGACTTCCTGCCTGTGTGTCAAAGCTCCAAGCCCATTGGTTCCTACTGGAAACATTATAGCTTGAGTCTCTGTAATATGTCCACAAAAGGAGGAAATAGTGCATTTTCAGGGACTATTTTCAGCGGCGGATTCATTTGCACATTTGGTGCTCTATAGTGAGTAATTGTGGAAACAGGATGGTGTGTGTGTGATTGAGTCAAAATAAACTACAGTGTGTGTTCATGGTGATGAAAGAACATGTCATCTAGTGCAACAGAGGGACTTATTGATGTGTTTTTAATAGTTTTAGGGAAAACAATGGATCTGGGATGGGATTTCACCTGGATAAATAAAGGTTTTGAATTGAATTGAAATCTCTATGGCACAAATTAGATCATTAAAACTAAGTTTAACCCTATAGCTGACACAAAGACAACAATGTGGTGTCTAAAATTCAGGCCAATAACAGTAGCTACTATATATATATATATATACATACATATATATATATATACATATATATATATATATATATATATATACTGCTGTTTGCTCTGATGTTGAAGGGAACTTGGAGAGGATAGGGTACAAAAACAATGCACAGATGGTGAGGTGTGTGTGTGTGTGTGTGTGTGTGTGTGTGTGTGTGTGTGTGTGTGTGTGTGTGTGTGTGTGTGTGTGTGTGTGTGTGTGTGTGTGTGTGTGTGTGTGTGTGTGTGTTCTAATAAGTGCCAAATCCTTGCCCCAGGGCCTCTGAAAAGTTAAATCCGGTCGTGGTTCCAGGAGAAGACTTATGACGTTGTAATTAATTCAGAAAATACTTTAGATTTATTTTATTTTATTTGTAGGTCCCATTATTATTATTATTGTTATGCGCCGCTTCCCCCTTCTACTCCAGTAGGACTCAGGTGTTGCACTTTTCCTTGTTCATGTGATGTTTTGTTGTTTTGTGGGAACTAAGTCTTTCTTTGTACATTTTTGTGTGTCTCTTATTTTCCTACGTAACTGTTATGATTGGCTGTGAATACAAAAATATGAAGGACCGACCATCTATTTCTATTTATTTTGAGAAAGGGGCCGGTCATATCAGATTATTTTCTTCTCCCTGCTCCTTTTCGGGTATGGTGTGTTTATAATAATAATAATAATAATTCCTTATATTTATTATAGCGCTTTTTCAATGACTCAAAGCGCGCCTTTCCAGATACACATTACACATATCATACATACATGTAATGGTCATGAACTGTGGACAATACCCACAGGAGCAAATTCAGGTGAAGTGTCTTGCCCAAGGACATGGGATATAGAGACATGCTTTGTAAATAATTGTTATCCATTCAGTTGTGCATCATGAACGGAAAAAAATACAAATGAAATGAAATATTTAGTGCACATGAGGGAGGAAGACTCACCAGAAACACAGCACCTCCAGGAAAGATAACCCCGTGTCCGACGCCCCCACCAAAACGATCCGGGCGTTAACCGTGACCTTTGGCTCCAAGGTCAACTTCCTGCTGATGAGGCTGAGGGCAAACGGAGCCTGAGAGAAACACAGAAGTTATCATTTTACTGAGTGAGTGAAATGAGGGAATGTGTCCCTCTGAAAATGAATGGAAGATTAAATATTCCGTCTCTTAATTATTACCATCACTAAAAGCATTTCCTGATAATGGGTCCAATTTTCCCTTATTTTAATATTACAGGATAAAGTAGTAATCATCTTTTTATCCAGGCACTTAATCTGCCGTCTGAAGAGACAGTGCAGCTCTCAGGCACCTTTAGAGGATTAGTGATGTTTAGGAAAGTTTGTGAAAAAAATCTGGGTGAAATTTACCGAATATCGACCACTATTGATGTACAGGTAATTGGCAAAAAATTCAGATTTTCCAAAAGCATGCTGGACATTAGCGATATTCAAACAGGTACGCATTGAAACCGAGATATTTCATATATAAAAGCAAACAGAAAAAGACTTAGCTATCTGTGTTTTATAATCTTAAACACTACATTGTTGTTATTCAGTTTTTTGGACCAAAAATACAAGTTGTAAAGTGACAATAATATGTTTCATTTCTTTGGACATTTCTCAATGGGATAAAGTGCTCGTTTTGGATTATTTCCCCATTTTCTTTTACATATTTTGTTCTTTGTGTCCTTCCCTCCAGCTGTCTACAGCCATTTAAGTATTAATCCGATGTTTGCTCTGTATGTCCGTGGAGCTTCAGATGGTAAAGAGAAGGAGACACAGGGATCAAAACGTGCGACCTGACAGTTAAGAAACACTCTCGACAATAATTACAAAAGAGTCCCGCAGGAATTAGCTGAACACTGCGTTCTAATTTCCCGGTTCCTCCTCGCACTGTGAGGCGGCTAATGGCTCCTTCATCATCTGTAATTAGGCAGATTGGCCCCACAATGCACCTTGTTGGATGAAAACAGCATCGAGCGAAACAAGGAGGGGGAAACCCGAGGGTGAAATTAACCTTTGTGTAATATTCAAATAATTTCCATGAGGGCATGTGTGCGCGACATCTGTCACCAACTGAGAGACGAGGTGGGGTTTCATTAGCGAGACAATAAGAAGAGAAAAGGTCTGATAGATGCATGGGTCTGCAGATATGGGGAATAATAAGAATCCTACAAATATCTTTAATTGGAGGAAAAGCAGCTAAGGTTTTAGTGTCTACAAACATCAGTAATAGAGAATTATTACCAAAATGTAAGTGTTTATTTTACATTTTTATACGCGAGTTGTTTTCTTTCCCGTTGTCATTAGATCATAAGTCACTTACAAAGTTAGTTTGTGGAGATACTGTACGTTGGGAAGTTATTCTGATAAGATATCAGGTAGCTCAATTAAAGGTGTGACAGTGGAAATATTTAGTGTTTTAAAGTATTATTTTATTGATAAAATGGTGAACTTTTACGCTCAGTGAAGCATTTAAGTGAGAAGAGATCCAGTCACAGAGCTTTTTTTAGCTGTTAATATTCAGGAGTTCACTTTAAGATATAGACTATTCTTGCACTATTTAAATTCTATTGTATTTGTATTTACTTGCGCTATTTTATCTTGTATTGTGTTGCACTGTTGGAGGAGCTCAAGTCAGAAGAATTTCATTGACATTTCTACAATGTAGCTTATGAGCATATGACAATCAAACCTTTGACTTTGAAAAATCCATAGTAAGTCTTCCCTTTTGAAACAGCACCTTCTAGTGGTCACATGATCCCCCTGCAGCCCTCCCTCATCCTCCATCTAGAGCAGGGGGGTCCAAACTTTTTTCTCTCCGAGGGCCACATACAGAAAAATCTACGAAGGGCTGGACCTCTCACTAGAGGAGAGGTTAATTGCCTCATAAGTTACGTTATAAGTTAACAAAATCAATCACATGTAGGTAAATGATGCTTGTGTGTGTTGGCAGCTCATCCCTTAAAACAGAAGCTTCCGATTGATTATAATAAGGAGGAATATGAAGGGTGTATTTCAAGCTGGTTATGTAAATAAGTTACTTTAATTGACTGAATTTATTTTAAAAGTGGGCTCTTATTAACACATGAATACTGTGTAATATATTTATACATTTATATTTCAGAAGTACAATATAAGAAAAGCACAAGTTTCATTTGTGGGCCATATTCCATTATAGTTTTTGAATTTGCTGAGGTCCGATTCAAAATGGTCCGCGGGCTGCATTTGGCCCCCGGGCCGTGGTTTGGACACCCCTGATCTAGAGTCTACACCACCCCCCCCCCCCCCCCCCCCCCCCCCCCCCCCCCTCTGGCAGGATGTTATCCAGCTGCTGCTCAGCCCACCTGCTCCTCTCTGATCTGAAGGGAAGGAGCGTTGATGCCAAGCTCCTCCAGCGGGAAGACGATCTGGCGTCGCGGGCGCACAGGAACCGCACAGTCCAGCAGAACATCCAGATGGTGGACGCAGGAATTCTGGGTGCAGAAGAAGAGAGGGCGCAGTGTCAGGAAGTGGTAATGAGCTCAGGTGGAGAGGTCACATGATGCAAGATCAGATCGGCAGAGGTGGCAAAAGTACACACATCCTTTACTCAAGTAGAAGTACAGATACTCGTGTTTAAAGATACTCTGGTGAAAGTAGAAGTACTGACTAAACTTCTTTACTCAAGTCAAAGTAAAGAAGTTTGGGCTTTGAAATGTACTTAAGTAAAAAGTACCCATAACTAGCAGCTGTTTTAAAGAGTACCTGACCTCCCTTTATATTAATAGAACATTAGATCTTCTATTTCAAATTGTAATAATGTCATAATGTGTGTGTGTGTGTTTGTCTATTTGTGTCTGTGTGTCTGAGACGCAGATTCAAACTAAAGTAACAAACCTGTTTGGGAAATGTAAGAAGTAAAAAGTTCAGGTATTTGTGTTAAAAATGTAAGAAGTCAAAGTAAAAAGTCGACAGAAAAATAAGAAGTGGAGCAAAGTACTGATACCAGAAAAATGTACTTACTGTAAGTACAGTAACAAAGTATTTGTACTCCACTACTTCCCACCTCTGCAGATCAGCAAACATCAGCCTGCACACAGATTATTCTCTGCTTATCTTCTGACATTATTCTATTTGCAAATCATCGTCATCGTGTCCCAGTGTGCTGCTTGTTTGTTGAGGGTAATTAGCAGAGGAAGTGGAGGCCTCTACATGTGGAAGAAATGTCTTATTATGGGATGGAGAGGTGGAGCACCTGCTGCCCCGACCCCAGGGGCCGCAGCCTGCTGAGGGCCAAACTCTGCAAAAAATGCTCTGCTTAAAAAAAGTTAAAACTCTTTCTGATCAGAGTAAACAGTCGGGGTGGGAATCACCAGGCTCCCCACGATACGATACTATTGCAATACTTAAGCCACTATACGATACTATTGCGAAACTTAAGCCACGATACCCTACTATTGCGATACTTAAGCCACTATACGATACTATTGCGATACTTAAGTCACGATAATATTGCGATACTTAAGCCACGGTAGGATAGTATCACGATACTTACTGTAAGCCACAATACGATAGTATCACGATACTTAAGCCACAATACGATACTATTGCGATACTTAAGCCACTATACGATACTATTGCGATACTTAAGCCACGATACAATACTATTGCGATACTTAAGTCCCAATACTATTGCGATACTTACGCCACAATAGGATAGTATCACGATACTTAAGCCACAATACGATAGTATCACGATACTTAAGCCACGATACAATACTATTGCGATACTTAAGTCGCAATACTATTGCGATGCTTAAGCCACGATACGATAGTATCACGATACTTAAGCCACAATACGATACTATTGCGATTCTACGATATGCTAAATATTGCGATGCGATATACTGCGATATATTGCGCATATATATTGATTTTGATGTTATTTTACCTGGATAGGTCTCATTGAGAGATATTTGGTATTTTTTCCTGAAACTTTCAGAGTGTCTTTACGCAGAGGTGACACATGTTGATGTATAAAAGACATGAAAAAGTGGATTTTGCACAATAGGTGACCTTTAACTGGGAATTGAGCCGCCACAGACATTTCTTGCAGTGTGTGAGCTGAGGGTCATTACACTAATGAATGTGTTTCTGAGCAGACATGCAGAGGCTGGAAAGGCCCCAGAGTTGAGGGGCCAGTGAGGGCCTGAGGGTCCCTGTGCACCCACCTGGGGGCTGATGTGAGGGGGGTAGAGTCTGTGGAAGAGGCAGGACTTGTGCCCCAGCCGGAGGGACTCTTTGAACAAGTGTCTGCAGCAGCGCTGGAAGGAGGGCGCCAGGACGAAGTGCAGGATGTGAGCGTGCTCCTCCAGCCGGTGGTGGCTGAAGTAGATGAAGCTGTCCATGTTGTAGCGCGCACACAAGTACTGGAGGTCCTGACAGAGAGAGCGGAGGAGATAAGTCACTTTTCTAAGGGTAAGAATCCATGAGGGACAAATAATTATAAGTTGTAATTGTTTTGTTTACATTCAGATAATAAGGAGCAAAATCTGCTGGTGACTGTAGCATAAAAGGAAATATTTCTCTACATTTTGCAGTGAAAATAAGAACTGTTTTTTACCTTTATTTCATTTATTATATACATGAACATACACTTTTCTGTTGATAAACATGCAGGACTACAAATTATAAATGTTTTTTTCACTCAGATAATAAGGAACTGCATCTGCTGGTGACTGTAGCATAAAAGGAAACATTTCCCTACATTTTGCAATATAATAATAACAACCACACCCTCAATTAATTTATATTACTCTTGATTTTATCTATTATATACAAAATATAACTTTCCAGTCCGTTTTTTGTGTTGATAAACTCCATACAGGACAGATAATAGCATTTTATATATTTCAAATGTTGCACTATAGTACAGTACTTTTGTTTTTTTTACATTAAACAAATAACAATAGTTAGCTTTTTACATAAAGTGGTGTTAATATGTGGAGATGATCCTGCTTGATGCTGCCTTCAGGGTCCAACACAGAAATACGTCACTATATAGATCCGATTTGATCAGAGTACAGGGAGTAAACTGCATCCACCTGCTCGTCTCTGATGATCAGGATCCCGACCACCTCGCTCTGCACCGTGGACACGAAGGCCTGCAGCGGCACGCCATCCTGAGAGGGAACAGAAGCACAATATATGTAAATATAGACCAGTTTGTGTGCATATGTGTGTGTGTGTGTGTGTGTGTGTGTGTGTGTGTGTGTGTGTGTGTGTGTGTGTGTGTGTGTGTGTGTGTGTGTGTGTGTGTGTGTGTGTGTGTGTGTGTGTGTGTGTGTGTGTGTGTGTGTGTGTGTGTGTGTGTGTGTGCACCTTCTTGTGTCAGCCCGGTGCCATGAATACACATGAAGTGTCAGCAGAAGTAATTATCAGTTTTGGAGCGTCTCGCTGACAGCTGGGGTGTCAGTCAGAGAGGAGAAGCCGCTCAACTGAATTCTCACCAATCTGCTGCCTGGCATCTCTTCTCCATCCTGAGACAATCACCACCAGCTCCATATCACCCCACCGGCCAAAACAATCATCAGGTCATTCTAATTCAGTTAAAGGGAAGCCAGTTACAACCCTGATATGTTCGGTCTGGTTATTCTTTATCATTTCCAAACACTGACCATATTGCAGGCCAGTTGGTTTAATACTGAATACATTTGAGCAGGTTTTCTCTCATTGTGTTGTTATGTTCAATGTTTGTTTTTCATGTATTGTGTCTATGTCGATGTTACACATGGAGCTGCTGTGATGCAAGTCACATTTCAGACTTGATCTGACCATTAAAGTATTATCGTATATCGTATTTAGCAGTAATAGCTTAGCATGAGCATTGTTTATCATATCTAAAATCTTAAATATGGTTTTACATAAAACATATATTTGGAATTTACACTTAAAAGCAATTTTAGACTTACTGTAGCACTTGTTTTCCCAAAATATAGTTAAGAAGAACTATTAAGACACAAACATCTGAGAACAATAATAACATAGTTGTTCAAAATTATTCCAAATTCATGTTTTGTCTTTTCACTTTTTGTAGTTTTAGTGGGTTTTAGGGGCAAACAAGTTAAATCAATTAAAAATAACATGCATAGATATATTACTATAGAATACAGGAGCAACACAATCTATTTGTTGTAGTTCTATGGGCAATTAAGTGACAGGTTCTTTAAGGAAAGACATTGTGTGAATTTTCAGTGATGTACTTTTACCATGTGGGCCATAATAATATGTGAGAAATTGTCATTTTCTTGGATCTTGATGTGAAGTTAAGATTTTTGATAAGCTTTGGGTATTGCAATTTCACACGTGTACAAAAGTAGCTTAATTCAACTGATGAGGGCTATGTGAATAAATGTAAGCGATGTGATGGAAGTAGCTCTTGGCCACTTTCCTTTTTTCAAAGCAGCTCTCAGATGAAGAAAGGTTGGAGACTCCTGATTTAAACAGAGTAGCAGAGGGTTTCTTAGCCCCGAGTATTGTCTGCAGGGCTCCGTTTGAACTGCAAAAGGCCACATTTGGGCCGCTGTGTTTCGTAATTCAAACTGAAACTGTACCAATTTGTAAATTACTCGGTTTATTAGGAGGGAAAGTAGTAAAAACATATTTTCTGGTAATTAGTAGGGATGGGAATTTGAAAGCAAATGTATATTCGAATATTCAACCCCCAAAACAACGGTTAAAAATGTGGGAAAAATGTTGACAAAAAAAAGTCTGCGTGATCTGCGTGTAGGGAGGGGCAGCAGCCATATTATTAGCTAGAACTAGCTAGATCTGATGGATTTGGACATAAACGTGAGTGAAGTATAACCGGACGAGAGAGAGAGAGATCAGCACCTGCAGCTCTGCCCGCTGTGAGAAACCGGTGAGCGGAGCAAAACACACCTTTAGACCTAACACACTTAGCTATGGCACTGTCGTATACATTGAATTATTCCATTTTATATTATGTAATCAACTTAGACACCCCTCCCAAAAATAAATTACAGTTAGTTTTTCTGTATTTCCTTTATCCTGTAATATGACTTGGTCGCTTTAAACTCCGCACACTGAGCTCTGATTGGTCAGCAGGCGGTGCTTTCACTGAGTTGATCTCTTATCCTGGAACCTAACCAGGCTAGTTACCATGGAGATCTAGCCCGGTAAGAAGTGGACCAGCGTCGTAGGACCAGAAACCCAGAGTTTACCCTGAAGTTAGCTCGCTAAGAGAAAATCCGGCTTCGTAGTACAGGCCTCAGGTGTGTTTCTGTCAGCTTGTTGACTGACCGTGTCTCTGCGGGTCTCGTAGAAACGGTCCAGGTCCTGAAGAAGAGACTCTCTGAGACTCAGAGTCTTCACCAGCTCAGAGACAGCAGGACGGTCTGCAGCTACAGCAGGCCTCACCTCCACACTCCTGCAGGACAACAACACCATCAACACCATCAACACCATCAACACCATCAACACCATCAACACCGTCAACACACACTGAGAGCAACACGGTGGAGACAGTTAGAGCTTCTCACAGCACAGTTACAGAGTCTCTTTTGCAAAAACGTAATCATTTGTTTCTGTTTTAAAGTTCCCCTATTATTCTGTTCTTCATCAATATATCACAGGTCTCAGATATATCCAGAGCCTGTCTCTGATTGGCTGAAACACCAAATAGATCATTGCAGCATTACCCATAATCCCCTCTGTTTCAGCCCTGTTTCCAAAGTGCTGATTCTCCGTCTGTTACTTTAGATGAATATAAGGAGCCCCTCCCCACGCCCCTCTGAGAGAGATTTGGTTACAAAGAACTCAATGGTGCTCTAGGAGGAGATTCAGGTGATAAGGTGGGGGGGGGGGGGGGTTACCTTGGTTGCTGATTGGCTAATGGTTACACAAGACAAAACATCGTTAGACATCATAAAGTGGCCAAAATCTGATCAGCTCATTTTCAGACAGGTTTTTATAGAAATGGATCAGGACAAAAATCTTTAATAGGAAGTTCAGACACTTTCTGTAGCCAGCTTTCAGCACACAGCAGTTTATATGATGTATTTCATCTCGATGTAGCCCTCATCTTGCAGCACCTGTTGCTCCTTTTAAAGTCAACTGCTTTTGGATGTTTAGGTGGAAATGGGTTTTATCGTCTTGTTGTCATCAGCAGGTTTTGTACGTGTAAACCAAGATATAAGAAGACGATATACTGTAATATTATGCAATTGTCGACATATGAATTATATTAGTGACAGTATTTGTCGTCCATATTGTATTAGTAAGTGTTATTTTTACACCTAATGAGACGGTTTCATGTTTATGTTTCAAGTGTTTTATATCTCTATTTTGTTTTGTGTGATGACCCACCTGAGTCCGGAGCGTTGGAAGATGTAGATTTCTTGGGGGGGCGAGGTGTTGGTGGAGCGGGGGGGCAGCCGGATGAAGCTCTGCAGCAGCAGGAACTCAGGGGAGAGAGTCGGGACGGGGATGATGCAGAAGTCCACGTCCTGAGAGACAGACACATATATATTTATACACACTTCACTGAGCAAAAATACATCATGAAAAATGTCATGTTTTAAAGAATTCTCTCTTTATAACCTTCCAATTAACTCAATTAAACGGCTTTACATTTTCATCAGTGTGATAAGAATTATAAATATTGTAGTATAATATGCACATTTCTACTTTACGTTTATACACATTGTGTTATTATTTTTAATGATGTCTTTTCTCTGATATTTTTTCTTTGACTTCTTATATTAATATACATTTCTATTGAATTTTTATTGTATCTTTTTAATTGCACACTTATTCTATCTACTTCTGATTATATAACTATTTTAATTGTATTTTATTTTATTTATACTTCATTTTATTGTATTTAAAATAGAGAAACCAAATCTTTATTCTGATTCTAGAAATCCCCACTAACGTGTAAAACCCTGAACCTGGCACTCTCCTTGCACGTCATGTGATCATAACAGGGACACAAGTGTATTTATTTAAACTCTAGCACATATACTGAGATCTTATTTCATAATATAAATACTTTTCTGGTCCAATAGTGCTCCTTTTTATGAATGTATTCATGTATTAGGACAAATGAAGGGTTTCTGCTTCTGATACTTACGGGGAAAACTGTGAATATATAAGGAATGAAGTCCACTGATCTGGAAGAGAACAAGAAAGGGGAGGTCAGGTGTAAATATAATAATAATAATAATAATACTACATTTGATTTCTAAGTGCTTTTTCAGGTGCTCAAAGACACACTGAAATGATCTCATCCTGTCTCTCAAATGCTTTGGACAAAGTTCAACACTGGCTGAACAAATGTTGCTTACAGTTAAACGTAAAAAAAACAGTATGCATGATGTTCAGTAAACGACCAGTCAAAATCGAAGGATCCAATGTGTTTTTAAACGGAGCAGAATTAGAACTAGTGCCCCACTTCAAGTATCTTGGAGTCATACTGGACTCGAACTTGACTTTTAAGAAACATATCAAGAAAGTATCCAATACTATTAAATTCAACTTGCTAAATGTTAAACAAATCAGACCTTTCTTAACTGTCAATGCTGCAAAGTCATACCTCCACTGTGTGATTCTATCCCACATTGAATACTGTTTGACAAACTGGTCGCTTGCTTGTGCCACAAACCTGAAACCCAGCTGTACAAGAGAGCTATCAAGGTGTTTGACAGAAAGCCACATTCATACCACCACTGTACCATCCTTGATAAACACCATTTCTTGAGTTTTGACAATGTTAAGTCTTTTAAAAGTATGTGTTTTATTTATAAATGTTTACATGGACTAAACATGTTTTACAGTGGTGATAAAAAGGAAATAAAATAAATAATAAAAACTTGAATTAAAATATTGTTGGGAAAACACTGAATGTCCTCTTCCAATATGAGAGTACACATGATAACAAAGGTATCCCAACTGTAGCTGTGAACATGACAGGATGTATGATTACCTAGAAGAGCATCAGGACTGTTTGAGGCATATGATAGCTATGTGATTAACATGATGATTCAGCCTCTATGGAGATAGACATATGACAAGCATGATCATTTCTGACGTGGAGCTAATCTGAAGTAAACATTGAATACTGCTTTCTATTCCTCCATCTTGTGACTGTGTAACTCCCTCTCTTGGATATCAGCATGTGAAGGACACTGTTCAGGAACTAGTTGATGCTCTGTATGTGATGACTACTTCCATTCTGGAGAGGATCACAAATACATGGATCCTGAGATTGAAGCTCAAGCCGGTGACCAGGGATTATTATTATTTTTAAGTATTCAGAAAAAGTCAGATTTTTGAGAAAAAGTTAGAATTTTGAGAAAAAGTCAAAACATTTGAGAAAAAGTCCGGATTTTTGAGAAAAAAATCAGATTTCTGAGAAAAAAATCTGATTTATGAGAAAAAGTCAGATTTTTTAGATTCTTAGAAAAAGCCAGAATTTTGAGATTCTTAGATTCTTAATCAGAATTTGGAGGAAAAGTCAGAATTTGGAGATTTTGAGAAAAATTCAGACTTTTGAGAAAAATCTCAATTTTGAGAAAAAGTCAGAATTTTGATATATAAACTATTCTGTATGTGATGACTACTTCCATTCTTGAGAGGATAATAAATACATGGATCCCGATATTGAACCACAAGCCGGTGACCAGTGATATTTTTCTAACAAAATATTAACACAGTAACGTTCAGTGTTTTGAAGGGGGGGGGGGGTCAGTGCAGTCTCTGATGTGCCAATATGTGCCAAGTTTCACAATAAAAGCCTGGCTGGTGATGGCCGACAGATCTGCCCGCTGCTTCCAGCTCAACTTCTCTCCTCCCGCTCCGTCACGCTGTCAGAGTCAGCGGCGCTCTCATTAATAACGTGCTCACTGTCGGCAGGAAGCCTCGTCTCCTCACTGAGGAACAGCTGGGAGGCGAGGCAGCCAGAAAACACTCACTGTCTGTCTAACTCTGAACATGACTGATGCAACTCTGAGCCGCTGCCATCAGTGGAAACATGAAGGAAAGTGGGGAAATACGCACGTTTAAATTATGGAATTATTTCAAAACAAGTCGTAAATTTGATGGGAATTATAGCAATGTCATTCTGTAAAAGTATCTAATAGAATTGACGCTGCATGTTCAGTTCCATGTAACTTTCCCTCCTCCTCGATCACTTTAATGCAGTGTTGGAAAGTAACTAGGTACATTTACTTAAGTACATCTTTGAGGTACTTGTACCTTACAAGTATTTCCATTTCATGCTACTATACACTTCTACTTCACTATAAGCTGGAAGCAAGTATTGTACTTTTTACTCCATCACAATTATTTGCATGTTCGTATCAACTAAATAACTATAATGTTCTATTTTGGATGAACCCTCCTGTTGTCTTTAGGTCCACTTTGACGCATCTCTTCATGTTTTTATGTTGGAAAAAGTTGTTGTATTGGAAGTTTGAATTGGAAAGTTTAATTTCAAAAGTTACATTTGATTCGTTTTGATTTAAGGGGACATATTATCACTTTATCTCGACTTTACCTGCTCTCGTGATTCTTGTCAATGAGGAAGAACTGAATACAGACGGCGCTGGATTTCCCCGCTTCAGCCTCCTCCTGAGGAAAGGGACAAGAAATGACAAACATACCACAAAGTAGAAGGCAAAGACAGAAGAAGACTTTTTAGTTATATTGCTTGACGGTGTTATTGTCATGCATTACAGTTGATTTACAGAAGTGTAGTGACAGTTGTTTACCTGAGGATTTGTTTGGGGTTTTTCTTCGTCTTCTCTTGATTCAGGCGGAGCAGCAGGGTCATCATTTGTTATTGGATCTAGTTTGTACAAACCGTCCAGCTCACTTAAATCAAAGCTGTCGTGCAACTGCTTAAAATCTACATCAGACGTGACACTGATGAATCCGACAGGAAGTCCGCCACTCTGTGGAGGAAACACAAAAATATATAAGTCAAGAGTCTCTGAAGAAACACAATATAAGAGCCAATAGTGTGGTTTAGTATACGATCGCAAAAATCCAAGAGTTTTTGGTTTATTTTAAAGTGGACCTATCATGCTATATTTAAATAATATAGTGTAGGACCATACCTATATAAGGCATATTTATACTTTTTTTTTTCAAAATACCAAACAGATCATGCATTTTAGCCAAGCCTCATTTCGCTCAATTTGACAATTTCTAGCTCTGTTTTTGTAAGGGCTGATTCAGTGAGAACAGCACCACCTACAGGCCTGGCATATGTACTACAGCGTCTCCAGCGCTTTTGAACGGCAATGTCCGTGGCTGTCTCCTCCTGATTGGTGGAGTTGGCCCAATAGCCGTAGCGCCACTGTCCTGACGTCAGGACAGTGTTCAAATCTGGATCAGTTTTTATCAGATCCGTTGCAGCCCCTTTTTTAGAGATTTGGGTATGGAGGAAAATAGAGAGGGTTGTGTTTTCTGACACTTGGTGAGTTCCCTGGAACACCGGGGACACATATTCATGTAGAAAAGACGTACAAAAGTGCATTTTGCATGATAGGTCCCCTTTAAGTTAAAAAAACTGCTCATAATTCAGTAAATTGTATTTATCTATGTTGTATGTTAATATTTTTGTGTTGCATTTTGTTATTGTACTTTAAAATATTGTTAAGAACAGTGCTGTAAAAATAAAGTTCCTTATTAGTTGTATTAATAGAAATATAATGAACTACTGTTAGCATTACAAATACTGTTTTAAAAGTTAATTCTTGACTTTTAATTAAGTTGACAAATGGATCTCACTACAATATTTATTTTGTACATTTTCTGCAGTTCTCAATGAAATCACATTCCTCAACAGCTGGGGTTTGTTACTCTATTACATTTTGACCACATGAATACTTTGAAGACTTCTTGTCCATGTCACGGTAATTATTTGTATAAATGCTTAGTATAAAAATCATATCATCTTATTGTAAGCACCTGAACAGCTCAATGGACCTTAAGGTGAAATATCTTTTTTTTATCATTTATACATATTCAGAATGTGATCATTAATACATATTTTGTATGGTTTAAAATGAAGCTTACAAACAGCGATGAATTATTCTGAATTATTGACTGATGTGTCTGTATAGATGATTTACCAGGATAATAAATATTGAAATGAATATTCTGTAACAGGTAATGTCAGCGGGAACAGGCCGGCCCTCTGAGGAAATGTTGCCCGTTTGTTCTCCGATGGTTGAACACATTCAGACTAAAAGCCCAGAATGCTTCAGATGTCTGGACTCAATATGTTCAGTGAGAGCATGTCCTGGCCCTGGATCAGCTCCTATCTGCCATATGCTGCTCAACACATGTCAGGGGGGGGATCTGTCACCCCCCCGATGCCCGAGGGAACGCACCCAGCAGGGAGGCTGACAACCAGGGAAAGCATCATCAGAGAGGGGGTGTTACATTGTGCATCAGAAATGGAATAACCTTACTCAGATAGCGATATGTTGAGAGAATCTAAAAAAAACGTTCTTTACCGGTCCATATCATTCAGGAAAATTCTCAAGTACATTTCAAAAGGTTGCTAAAAAGTGATCTCAGTGTTATAAAGTAAAACTGAATTGTGCCTGTGGGTATGTAATGTATTAGTATGTACATTTATTTGTATTTTTTTGTTATTTGTTCTTATGATGGCTAAAATTGGATCACCATTTCAGTTTTCACTTCATATAGCACTGTAAATCGCATGAAATGACAAACTGTTTTGTTTTATGTATGTATGTTTTGTGTGTGAGGACCCCAGGAATAGAATAGGAGGGATGAACCCCTCTGTAATGGTCTCACATGCAGAGCACACAGCACACAGTGCCATGTGTTCTCTGCTTTGAACCCATCCTAGAACTAGGAGCAGTGGGCAGCTATTGCACAGCGCCCGGGGAGCAATGGGAGTGAGGGGGGAAGGGGGATGTCCGGTGCCTTGCTCAAGGGCACCACGGCAGGGCAGGAGGTGAACTGGGACCTCTCCAAGTAGCAGTCCATACTCCATATTTAGGTCTGTTCGGGGACTTGAACCGGCGACCCTACGGCTCCCAGTCCAAGCCCCTACTGACTGACCTATGCTCATGCTAGTGCTAATGGGGATCCTAATAAAGAATAAATAAACATGGATAAGCATAATACTTCCTCCATTATATAAATGATAAATAAAGTATCATCAGAGGGGGGGTTGTGGATCAGAAATTAAATAACCTTACTCATACAGCGATGGTAAAGCAGGAGGGTGGAGCAGCAGTGAAGGGTTTCTCAATGTGTAAAGATTCTGTGGATAAACAACGGACTCCAGTGCACGCTATTACGGGCACTATAGAGCACGCACAAAAGCGTGAGCACACGCACACTATTAAGATGTAAAATATGATTTTACCAACAATGTGGAATTTACATTCATTGAAGTATAGGCTATCAAGGCATTGCTAATTCATGGCTACATATGACACAGATTCTGCGTAATAATGCCCCTGCCCCTGCATCTTCCATTTCAATCTATTTAGCAGATTTAGCGTTTTTAGTGACAAAGAATTCCGAGATACGTTTTTGCGTCATGTCAGTTACTGTCATTTATTATATAGTTTAAAATTATCATTTGAATAATAATATATAATATAAAATATATCTCAGGCACAATGAAATGAAATAAAATAAAATGTGCAGACAGAGGAGCTCCGCCTGCCTGCCGCTAGCGGGTGCTGCAGCGCCCTCAGCACCCCCCTTACCGCGCCCCTGCCTACAGTAGAATAGAGATAAGTCCCGCCCATCTACTTCCGCTCCATGGGACCTTATTTCGGAAAAATTATGTATTGAAGTCAATGGAGAGAGAACGATTATCTTTCGATCCCGTTTGAATTGTGCCACGAATTACTCATATGATGTTTGTCAATTTAAAAAATAATTTCCATGTCAAAAAAGTCACAGTTTGTCGTAAAACTGTTGAAATATAAGACTATGAAAAATACGCAACTAGAAAGACTACAAATCCCAGAGTCCCGGTCCCGCATGCTGGCTCTTAGGAACCGACTCTCTCCCCTTGTGTGTATGCACAGCTCTCAACATGCCCAGACTTGGAGTGATTTTCACCTCTTTTAATACTTTCCGCCTCATTCTGAAAGAAAGAAGTGAAATGTGCCAACGTGACGGCCGTCTTGGTGTGTGGTGCGAGACGGGAGATGGAGTTCATTGAGCGGTTTCACACTCAGTTACTTCACAGTTTTACGACACATTTTTTTTTTTTTGACTTGTAAAATTATCTTTTAAATTGACAAACATCATATGTGTAATTTGTGGCACAATTCAAACGGGATCTAAAGATAATCTTTCTCTCTCCATTGACTTCAATACATAACTTTTCCGAAATAAGGTCCCATGGAGCTCAACCGGAAGGGGAGGGACTTCGCCTCTCTATACAGGAGACGTTGAGGTCTGTTCACAGTATTGATCATCCTCTTTAAGAATAATAGGTATGTTTTAAAATTGAATTATTTAAAAAGATAAAACACAATTAGTGCTGTGAACAAGGAACAAGCTGTCAGAGGATGTACTGCATACTGCTTTAACAAATAGATCGGACATGTTGGTCAATGAATATTTTTGTTGTATAATTATTAAGCTAACAGTTTATAAAGCATATTGTGTTTGTTGCAGTTGGAAAATCTGGTGTGGAGAATTTACCTCGTACTAGAACGTGTCCAATACAATTAAATAAATACAACAAATACATGACCTATCATGCAAAATGCACTTGTGTACGTCTTTTCTACATGAATATGTGTCCCCGGTGTTCCAGGGAACTCACCAAGTGTCAGAAAACACAACCCTCTCTATTTTCCTCCATACCCAAATCTCTAAAAAAGGGGCTGCAACGGATCTGATAAAAACTGATCCAGATTTGAACACTGTCCTGACGTCAGGACGGTGGCGCTACGGCTATTGGGCCAACTCCACCAATCAGGAGGAGACAGCCACGGCCATTGCCGTTCTAAAGCGCTGGAGACGCTGTAGTACATATGCCAGGCCTGTAGATGGTGCTGTTCTCACAGAATCAACCCTTGCTAAAACAGATCTAAAAAATGTCAAATTGAGCAAAATGAGGCATGGCTAAAATGCATGATCTGTTTGGTATTTTGAAAAAAATAAAGTATAAATATGCCTTATATAGGTATGGTCCTACAATATATTATTCAAATATAGCATGATAGGTCCACTTTAAATGAATAAAAAGCTAAGTGTGTGAACAAACCTCACAAACGGCGCAGTGGTTCTCCTCGTTCTGTTCCTGGATCAGTTCTGCCAGGAAGTACGGCTGCTCCATGACAGACAGGACTTTGGTTTGATCCACAAAGATACGCATCAAATCATCATGATCTTCAACCCTGGGGAGCACACACAGAAGGAGCATTCACCTTAAATCACCACCAATCATATTCAAAGGAATCAAAACACTCTCTAATAACAAAAGGCCAGCTGATAGTCCTTAAGCAACTCATAATTATGACTCAGCAGCAGCTTTTTTAAGCTTCTTTTAGGTCATATTTTCGGATGTAAGGAACATGTATCATCTTGATGAGAGTTCTTCTGCCCCCTAGTGGACACAAAGTAATCAATGCATTTTCAACTTTACCCACTTACAGCACAAAAGATCAACATCTATTGAATTCTGGTGACAAATTCACTATTTTCAACAATATGTGTGCATGATACTTAACTGTTAAAGTTAATTTATCTATATAGCACATTTCAGACACAAAGGCAACTCAAAGTGCATTTCATAAGCATTTAGATACAGAACAAATTAAACGGAAAACAAGAGAGAAGGTGGTTAAAACATTGGAGATAGTAGACTCTGCAAGAAGTCAAGAGGCATAATAATAAAATGTATTTAGATGGGAAAGCAGCAGTAAATAGAAAGGTTTCAGACCCAATTTAAACAACTCGTCATGTGTTAAATATACATTTTTCATAACATGCTAAAACCAAGACAAACGTTTCCATGGATGTCTTTCACTGCCCTATATGAATGTGCACTGTACGCATTTGAGCCAAACATATATTTTACGTAATTTTAGGGGGAAGGAATGAGGTAAACCCACCTGGCGGGGCGGATGAGAAGCTTCGGGCAGTGCTCTTGTCTGTGGCAGATGAACGCTGAGCACTGAAGGTCAGTCAGACGCTGCAGAGGATCAAACACCTCCTCCAGAGCCTCCTCTGCACAAACAGCAACACAACACTCTTTTGGGTTATTTTTGTTTTCTTATGTTTAATTGTTTATGTTAGAACAATCTCACTCGTCACCGGCTTGAGCTTCAATCTCAGGATCCATGTATTTATGATCCTCTCAAGAATGGAAGTATCATATACAAAGAAAATAGATTCTGACTTTTTCTCTCAAAATTCTGACTTTATCTCAAAATCTCAAAATGTTAACTTTTTCTCAAAATCTCAAAATTCTGACTTTCTCTCAAAATTCTGATTTTTTTTCTCAAAATTCTGACATTTTCTCTCAAAATTCTGACTTTATCTCAAAATGTTAACTTTTTCTCAAAATCTCAAAATTCTGACATTTTCTCTCAAAATTCTGACATTTTCTCTCAAAATTCTGACATTTTCTCTCAAAATTCTGACATTTTCTCTCAAAATTCTGACATTTTCTCTCAACATTCAGACTTTATCTCAATCTCAAAATGTTAACTTTTTCTCAAAATCTCAAAATTGCTGATATCCAAGAGAGGGAGTTACACAGTCACAAGATGGAGGAATAGAAAGCAGTATTCAATGTTTACTTCAGATTAGCTCCACGTCAGAAATGAGCATGCTTGTCATATGTCTATCTCCATAGAGGCTGAATCATCATGTTAATCACATAGCTATCATATGCCTCAAACAGTCCTGATGCTCTTCTAGTTATCATACATCCTGTCATGTTCACAGCTACAGTTGGGATACCTTTGATATCATGTTACTCTCAGATTGGAAGAGCACATTCAGGATCTTCCCAACAGTTTATTTCTACTTTTTTAATTTGTTATTACGTGCAATGCCTTGTTTTGTTTTATGCTGCTGCAACACATATGTTTCTCCCAAATTGGGATTAATAAAGTACATCTGATCTTAACTGATGAACTGAGAAAGGAATTTAAAGCAGCCGTTCACCTAAAACACCGGCGTACGAGCTGAGCAGCAGGATGTATTCCAGCTCTGTGACGGCGTTAAAGACAGCTCTGTGAAAAGAAGCAAAGCAACGAGGGATTATAATGTGGCAGACATTACATTAACCTCTGTGAATCGGTATTCTGTGGGGGCTTCTGTCTCACTGTAAATGTCCCCGCTGTGGGACTCATCAAGGAATTCTGATCCTGATTACTAAAGCACATTAGAGTAATCTAATAATAATCAACGTAATGTAGTTATTTGGGAGTGAAACAGTCCACCTGTCTATAATCACTACACACAACTAAAAAAGTGCTGACAAATATGGCAATAAATGTATTCCTCTGATGATTAAAGGTGGGGTAGGTAATTCATTTTCTACATTCTTACCTACCTTTAAGTATTGAATAACACTGTAAAAAGACAACATGATTTTTCGGAAATTAAATATTCCAAATGAGAATTCCACAGAAAAGGAAATATCTACTTTTATTTTTTCATACCTTAATATTTCTTTTGCACTTGCTGTGGCGAAATCTGTCTCTGCCACGAAGAAGTGGAGGAAGAGTGTGTTCAAAGGCTGTGGAGGGAAGATCTTTTAGCAAGTTTCCTCAACAGGTGTCTGTTCACTTTAAATGTGTCCTCATCTTAAAGAGTACATTTACACGAGCCAAAGATGTGTGTAGTCCTGTTCAATGAACCGCTACACATAAACAGTATCATATCTGAATTCATGAGAGGTACAGACTGTGCATGTTTCAGCGCTGAAGTGTTTCTGCAGGAACGCTTCCCAGCGAGTCTGATCCACCAAGTCTCCAACAGGGTGATCGAAGAAGGAAGCGTGAGCCAGGATCTCCTCCCTCTCATTGGCCAGAGTCACCGCCAGATTGGCTTTCTCTCTGGAGAAACAGGAGAGGAAACGAGAACCAAAGGGATCATGTTGAGATAAAAACTATAAGCACATCATCCGTATTTCTGACTACCTGCAAGGCAAGATGTCACAATGGGAAGAACAACATCAAATAGTTCATACAACCATTTTAAAATCTTCTTATGTCCTAAAAAATCTACCTGTGTGCTCATACTGTATGTTCCATCATCATTAATATTCAGTATCAGTATAACAAAATGGCATCCAACCCAAAAGTAGAAAAATGCACATACTGTAAATACATATAACGAATGATACAAGGATATATATAATAACAGAATATCAATTATAAGATATTAAGGATTATGAATTGATGTGCACAGTATGACTAATAAGCTAGTATGTCATATGTTTAGTAAATAAATGCACTTTTATGTCCAATAATCAGTTACATTTGGTTCAGAGTTAAGTGGCAAGTGAGTTAAGATAAACTACATAATAACAAGATACGTGATCTTGAAGAAGCCACCGTGGCTGTAAATGCTTTGGCTAACTGTTGTATGACTGTGTGTTTTAAAATGGTCTGTAACTGTGCTGTTACCATTCTTGGGCCAGGACTCTCTTGAAAAAGAGATGTGTTATCTCAATGAGACCTATCCTGGTATGTTGTCATTTTTATCTTAATGATTATCAAAATCATATACAGCTGACATTATCAAAGCCTAGGTGAACCTCTTATTAGAAATCCTGGTAAGTACTCTCTGAAATATATACTTAAGACACTAAACAAAGAAGTGTTGTGTCTCACAGTAGATGGAGCACGTTGACTCGTCCAAACACTGCTCCAGCTTCAGGGCTGATGAGGCCGTTGATCCCCTGAGCGTCGGCTGACTCCGTCCTTCTGACATTCACTGCTTCCTCCTGGCCACTGGAGGAAGTTATCGTCCTCATCTTCACCTGGACTCACTGCTTTTCATAATAGAGCACTGGATCAAGTCAGGCACGATAACATAAAGAATATTAATGATGTATGTTAGCGTAATGTAAGAAGTGGTGGAGGAAGATTTTGGATCCTTTAGTAAAGTGTAAACATACCACAGTGTAAAAAAATCTCTGTTACAAGTGAAAGTCCTGCATTAAAATGACACTTAACTGAATGTGTGGAAAGTTTATACAATACAAAATAACTTTAAATATTAAAAGTACAAACATTTCCCTTTTATACTTATATAATATATATTGGATTCTAAACATTGTTGTAAAAGCATTTTACTGCTGTAGCTGTAAATAATAGTGAATATATACACATAACATTACAGTTATATTAATATTATATTAAAACCAACTATCATTTTCTATGTAATCATAGTTAGTTTCATCCCAACATTGCACAACAATTGTTTGTTTTAGATGTTAGCCAGACCAGAACACCTGTTACTCACCTGTCTGTCACAGTCCCCTAATAAACAACAAAGTTACATGTATTGACAAACCTTGCTATAGCTTGTAGTTGAAATTAGAAAGTGAACATAGCAGTTAGCTCGATAAACTGTTAAGTTAACGGAACATTTTCTGTTGTAGTCTAAGCTAGCCGTTAGCTCACACAAACTACGTAACCATAGTAACAGAACGCTGCACCGTTTTCAACCATGGTGCTATGGTGCATTCAGGTGCTGATCGGACGTTCTCGTGTCCCGAGTTTGAAAGTCGTTCTTTCTACTTAGTTTCGTCCCAAACTTTTAGATTAAAACCCATAAACCACTAAAGTATAGATTTACTCTTGCTTTTAAACAAGGGAAAGGATAATACATAGCGTGTCTTACTAATCTAGCTCACACAACGTCGAATGCAAAAGGCCGGTTACAATTTCACAACAACTTACTACCACATTTGAAATAACATGTATGTTTGTTCTCCATTGCTTTGCGTATTGTGATGTCAAATCGGATTTTGTGTAACAAACTTTTCGTCGCGTTGTCACATCAATTTGGATTTTCCCATCCAGGAAGACATTTCTACCGATTGTTATAACAACACGCGAATGCAACCCGCAAAGCATTCTGGGTACTGTCATGGCGGGTCGCGCCTGATGTTTGTAAAACGTTTGTTTCCAGTTTGAAGTTTTGTGGTTTTCGAAGCATTTTAATTGTTTTCTGGTGTTTTTTTGGGGTTTAACCTGCCAATAAAAATGGCTTCAACCGCGGCAGGCAAGCAGCGGATCCCGAAGGTGGCGAAGGTAAGAAAACAAAACAACAAATAAAAAAGCCATGAGCTCCGGAGCTAAGCTAATGCTAACAAATAGATAGCACTGAAGTTGATTTGAGCAAAGCGTTGAATGAAGACCACAGATTGTATGTTTATGTAAATAAGAATACAAGTATACATTATATTGTTGTTTTAGAATGGTAACGTTAATCCTAGCTTTCCGGAAGCCGCATTACCTGTAAAACAGTACGCTTCCTTTCATATCTGTAGTAGTTTGTCCGACAGGCTGCGTTTTGTTTGGGTTTCATGTGTTTTTTACTGTAAACAAAATGGGTAGAAGTACTCAGATCTTGTACTTGAGTAAAAGTAGAAGTACTCAAATATTGTACTTGAGTAAAAGTAGAAGTACTCAGACCTTGTACTTGAGTAACAGTAGAAGTACTCAGATCTTGTACTTGAGTAACAGTAGAAGTACTCAGACCTTGTACTTGAGTAACAGTAGAAGTACTCAGATCTTGTACTTGAGTAAAAGTAGAAGTACTCAGATCCTTGAGTAAAAGTAGAAGTACCAGAGTGTAGGAATACTCTGTTACAGTAAAAGTCCTGCATTCAAATGTTACTCAAGTAAAAGTAGAAAAGTATTATCCTCAAAATATACTTGAAGTACCAAAAGTAAAAGTAGTCATTGTGCAGATTGGTCCATTTCAGAATAATATATATGATATGTTTTATAATGATTGATGCATTGCAAAGACATCATGCCCTTGACTGCAGAAACATCATGTATAAAAACGTCTTGCTGTGTTTCAGGTGAAGAACAAAGCTCCGGCAGAGGTTCAGATCACAGCGGAGCAGCTGCTGAGGGAAGCCAAAGAGAGAGAGCTCGAACTTCTGCCACCTCCACCCAAACAGAAGATCACTGATGAAGAGGAGCTGAACGATTACAAACTGAGGAAGAGGAAGGTGAGTGCTGACACCTGACCAAAACATATAAGATTATCCAATTCAGAAGTGTGAGATCATGACAGTTTATAGATTTGATATGATGTGCAATGTTTTGCTTTATGCTGTTGCAACAACAAAATGTTTCTCCCAAATTGGGATTCATAAAGTACATCTAATCTAATGTGATTTTACTAAGACTTTTGTTTTCTCAAAACTCATCAGAAAAACAACTTTCTTTTAACCTTGTTTTGAACCATTCTCCTCCTTTTCTCTCAGGGGTTTGAGGACAACATCAGAAAGAACCGAACGGTCATCAGTAACTGGATCAAATACGCACAATGGGAGGAAAGCCTGAAGGAGGTCCAGAGGTATTTTACCCCAAGCCAGGAAGACCTTTTATTCAATTTTTCCCTGTGCTTTATATGTTTCCCTCACCACCACCTCCTCCTCTGGTTTCAGGGCTCGTTCCATCTACGAGCGAGCGCTGGACGTGGATCATCGAAACATCACGCTGTGGCTGAAATACGCCGAGATGGAGATGAAGAGCCGACAGGTGAATCACGCCCGAAACATCTGGGACCGAGCCATCACCATCCTCCCCCGCGTCAACCAGTTCTGGTACGTGTGGCTTTACAACCTTTCATTTTACTACATGATTATCAAGGCTAAAATAATTCATGGTCATGCTATTATCGTGTTACTCTGGCAAATGAATTACGAGTGTGGGGAGGCTCGGAGAGATTCTGTTACCATAACTACACAAATCATTATTTACAATAGAGTGTGTGCTCTTTGTCTCTTTTTAAGCAAATGTACACTAACATGTAAACAAAAATGATTTAAGAGGTGCTGGAGTATTTACACTATATTATAATTTGTATATTTTAACATGAGGTCATATGACATCGATGTAGAAGCACGATTCTACTGTTTTAGCTGTTTAAGGTAAATTCATTCGTAACTATAAATGGATGATTATTTTCTGTATGAAGAAAATGCAAAATGACATCCACACCTCTGATTGATTAAAAACACAGTTAGAATATTAAAAAAGTATCTGAATCAAAACCAGTATTTTGCCACCCCTTCGTACCAATGAAGAAGCCAAAGTAAGTGCTTAATCGTCTTTGTGCTCCTCTCCAGCTTTGCCCATTTTCGTATTTTGTACATATTTCTTTTACTTTTGCCGTTTTACTTTTAACATGGTTCGCAACATGCTAGCCGACCGCACCTACTCTGCCATACAATATAGCAGAGAGGAACTTTTCCAATTGCGAAACTTCGTGGACAATATTAACCCTCCGACAAACAATGGAGATTCACCATGGCTACCTGTTGCTGTTCTACCTGAGAGACGCAAGAAGAAGACAAAGCGGGGATGCCGGGCCGGGCTGCTGGTCAGACTGAGAAAACGAGAGAATCGACCCCCTCTTCCGAGTATTCTTCTGGCTAATGTTCAATCCATTGAAAATAAGCTAGATGAACTCAGAAGCCGGATTGCTTTTCAACGGGACATTAAGAACTGTAACGTGTTAATTCTCACTGAGACTTGGCTCAACCCCGCTATCCCGGACTCCGCTATTGTCCCTGACGGATTCTCTATTTTTCGTCAGGACCGGACTGCTAACTCGGGGAAAAGTAAGGGAGGCGGTGTGTGTGTAATGACTAACAACAACTGGTGCTCAGATGTGAAGATTATTTCATCGGACTGTTCCGCACAGCTAGAGCACCTCATGATCTCATGTCGGGCCTTCCATCTGCCGAGGGAATTCACATCTGTTGTGATAACAGCAGTGTATATCCCGCCGCAGCCACTCGCCGACAACAACACGGCACTCGATCAGCTGTTTGGGTTTATTGATAAAACCGAGACTTCACGGCCAGATGCGGCGTTCGTTGTGGCCGGAGATTTCAACACCGCCAACATGAAGAAGGTTTGGCCAAAATATTACCAACACATCAACTTCCCGACGCGCGGGGGAAACATACTGGACCATGTTTATTCCCCTTTCCGGAATGGATATAAGGCTCTCCCTCGCCCTCCCTTCGGCAAATCAGACCATATCTCACTACTGTTGTTGCCTGCGTACAAGCAGAAACTTAAAAGGGACAGACCGATAACAAGGACAGTACAACGATGGAGCGAGGAGTCAGATTCAGCACTGCAGGATTGCTTTGCATCTACGGATTGGAGTGTGTTTGAGGACAATAACATCAACACACACACGGACACTGTCATCTGCTACATTGGGAAATGCATCGATGACGTGGTACCGAAGGTTTCTGTACGGACATTCCCAAATCAAAAGCCCTGGGTAAACGGTGAGGTGCGCGGCAAACTGAAAGCGCGCACTCTCGCGCACACAGCGGGAGATTTGGAGGAGTACAGGAAGTCTAGGTATGATCTCCGGAGAGCAATTCAAAATGCAAAGAGACAGTACAAAGAGAAGGTGGAATCTGACTTCAAAGGCTGTAACACTAGGAATATGTGGGCGGGACTAAGGACAATGACTGACTACAAAGGAGCAGCGGGGGGTGCTGCGGGAGTGTCTGCGTGCGCATCTCTCCCAGATGAGCTAAACAGTTTTTTTGCACGCTTTGAGAGCAGCCAGGCTGTGGAGGTACAGAGGGACCAGGAGCGCTACACTGCCCTTTTGTTTTAAATAGGGCAGATGTGTGTAAATCCTTTAAAAGGGTTAACCCACACAAGGCTCCTGGACCTGATGGCATCCCTGGCCGTGTTCTCAGGGTGTGTGCAGTTCAGCTGGCAGAGGTGTTCACAGACATCTTCAACAGGTCCC